CCCCTCTTCGCGGACAACGAAGAACTTGGCCCCGCGCCTCCAGTCAAGAACGACGGCTTATTTGCGACTGGCGGTCTACCCGAGCCCGTCCCTGCTGCTCCTCCACTGGCCTTTGTGGCAATCGCGGTTGGAAAGACAAAGGAGGGAGAGTCGTTTCCGGCGAAACCTTGAATGGATCGTCAGCTGAAGTAACGCCTGATTTGCGATAGCTATAACACACCTAGCTTAGAGTATCCGGTGCCGCTAAAAGTAGAATATCTGTTAGCTTGAAAGGAGGCAACAGAGGAACAAACATAAGATCATCGTACTTGTCCATGACAACGGCGGGTGTTTGCGACGCCATGGTTGCGGGATGTGTGGAGATGGCGGCCTAGCTGGCTGCTGTTGAGCCTACGAGTGGGCAATCAGAGTCTCAGGAATTCAAACAATGGCGAAAACAATGTCACTCAATGGTCGAGGTAGTGTCGGCAAAGAACATACTCCGTTGCGACGTGGAGTGGGAATTGGGTGGATATGTATGCACGGAGAGGAGCAGCGTGGTGGGTGAAGCATCCGCGTCATTTGGGGGTTCGCTGGTGCCAAGCCACGCCTCAACTGGAGATGGATTTGGCTGCACTCATCAACACCAGAAACATGTTTTTCTCTGGATAACCATAGAATACGCTGCAAAGCTATGACCTACGGTTCGATGGGAAATGTGAAGAGTAGGCCATGGCACCTTTGCCGATGCTAAGAGAAGATGTAAATAACTGAATACATTAGTATATCTTGCTTTCCAGCCAAGCAAAACCGGGGGGGATAACTGCCCCGTCCATGGCGACGATGGCGAGTTAATTTCCTTGTCCTCTGTAGTTCTTGCTTTAGCAAAATAGCTGTTGAAAGTATGCTGCAACTGGTGTGCTTGACTTGCTAGCAGACAAGTATGTTGAGCAGCAAAATATGTGGAAGGCTTTAAAGTATTATTCTAACTGGAGCATACCCTTAAGCCAGACGGACAGCAAGCACCTCGGATATGCGGACACAAAGTACGTAGTTACTGCACAGCTCCGTTTAAGTACCTTATGGTTACTCCTAGCATATTTCATTTCAGACTCTGCAATAGCTGAATGGACTTGATTCGGCCCCGTTACAATTTCTCAGGCTACCTTATCGTGCTATCCGCCCCAAGCAGTTGGGAATAACAGAAACAAGAAAAGAAAACCGGGCCGCACCCAGATTCGAACGCGAGAGTCCCGTCGCACCGTGCCGGAAGACAGGAGCCAGCATTCGCACCGCACCCCAACGCAGCTCCGGCAAAAAAACTTGGAGCTTCTCTTTGATTGAGCGTGTCATCCTTAGTGCAGGGGCCATGCTAATCTTCTCTGTATCGTTTCAATAAGACCAAATGCCCGAAGGCACCGTACAAACTCATTTGTGATATATAAGTTGTGATTTTTGGAAGTTCGCTTACTAATAACGGGTCGGATTAACAATTTGGCGCTTCCCGGGCGGCCAACCTCGTGGCTTGTATTAGCCCGAATAGTGGAAGATATATTGGCAGCTTTATATTGAATATTATTCACTGTACTTCGGTCGATGCGGGGCCGTATGTCAGACGGAATGGAGAAGCCCGTAGAGCTGATGCTGTGGTAGTGGGAGGAACGGATCGGATGCCTTTCCTGCTGGAAGCAATCACTGCGAATCGGCGCGTCTGCCCATCTGGACTTTCCTCCTCTTCGGGCTGTGGGATAGGGAAGTTGGTGTTTTTAATCAATGCAGTACAATTATGGCAGCTTCCGTGGCTATATGATCTCACTGTATCCTTGAGGTTCTCTTCTCATGGCTTGAGGCAGAATTGAACACGACCCTTCAAGGCCTCGCTCCCCTGTTCATTGTTCTTTATACCCGTCTGAATCTCGTAAGAGGAGAGCTTCTCATTTGGTTACCTCCTCTGCTCTCTAGCCATTCGTTATTGTATATTCCTATTATCGCTTCACGCACAAGAGGCACGTTGCTGTGTCCTTTACGCTGCATGTGCTGTGGCTTGTCCTTTGATCCTGTTGGTATCACCTCCAGTGACGTGAAGATGAAAGTATTTTCTGGACAACAGCTCATAATTCTCTGCTATTAGACTATACATGAATCCCCTTTCTACCTCTCCACCCTGTTATATGCCTTGCTGGGAGCTTCTCAACTAGAGCTGTGGACCACCGAGACCAGTGATAAAGGGTGCTCTATGTGCAAGATATCCAACCTGCCGCGATTAGTTTTCATCCTGCTCATTCATCTCACTTTCACACCACTCCTTGCCCGACTGACTCCTGAGCGCGTTGCATCCAGGAAGGCTCTTGGTGTTTGAAAATTTGCCTTGCAAGATACCACACGCGTCTAAACGTTATATAATCTCCTGGGTGATAGGCTTGATACCAACTCTTGAGGTTCCTTGAAATCACCAACATGATGGTTTCAGCTTCATCTGAGGCCAAAGGCATATCTGCCATTTATGTTCATGCCGGTGCAGGGTTTCATAGCCACCAAAGTGAGGAAATACATCTATGGGTTTGCAATCAGTAAGCTGTTCCTCGAAAGATTCTTGCCTAATTTTTTTTCTTTTCTTTTCTTTTCTTTTTTTTTTTTTTTTTTAATCGGACAGCCGTAACTAAGGCTATAAAGGGCGGCTATCCTTGCTATGGCCGTTTTAAAATCCGGAGGCAGCGCTGTGGACGCCGTTGAAGTTGCGGTCAAGTTTCTCGAAGACCACGAGATTACAAACGCTGGCTATGGTAGCAACCTTACAATCAACGGCACAGTCGAATGCGACGCGACTATTGTGGATCACCTTGGTCGTAGCGGAGCAGTCGGAGCAGTTGAGCGTTAGTGACTTGTATCCCTCGGATCATTCAAGTTTTGCGCTGATGCCGTTGCTTCATAGACGTCAAAAATCCAATTACTCTCGCTCGTGTCATCCTAGACGCATCCACCAAGCCCTTGGCCTTCAATCGTGTGCCTCCAAACCTTATTGCAGGAGCTGGCGCGATTGAATTTGCCTACGAGCAGGGAATATCAGTCCTTCCCGCAAACTCGCTTGTTTCCAGGGGTGCTCGAGAACGCTGGCTTCGTTGGAACCACGAATTACAGCAACTGGAGCTACAACGCCAGGCGAAAGAGTGGGATCCTGCATGCCGTTCTCCTCGTAAACCAAGTACAGCCAGAGCTTCCCAAGCATGCGTAGGCTCTAGCCCCAGTTCATCGCATCGCTCGAGGCGCAGCGCCAATTCGCCAAGCAACGTAGGACGTATGGATCTTGAATCGAGCCCCGATGGCTCAGTTCGAGAAAATCTTGTCTGCGAGATGGATGTGGACACTGATGCGGCTATTAACACCATAGTTGATCGTAATTTGCCGGACGATGGCGCTTCAGAGCCCGATGCAAATGCGGAAAGCGACCCAGACTATGTTGACAACGTCGTTCATTGGGAACCTGTCCCGTCAACATCCGATACACAAGCCAACGAGCTCCCAAGGGAATGTTCAGGCGATATCCGTGCCGCCTATCCACCTCCAATCGGTCTACCACCAGCATCCTCTGCAACGGAAGCCGGTACCACCCCGTTGCAGGTTGAAAGCTCGGGGAGGTTCAAGCGGCTGAATGAACAATTGCTTGTAGGTAGGGATGATGATATCAGTGATACAGTTGGTGCTATCGCGATAGACTGCTACGGGAATATCGCTGCTGGTTCATCCTCAGGGGGTATTGGCATGAAACATTGCGGACGAACAGGACCGGCTGCGTTGGTCGGGGTTGGCACAGCTGTCGTTCCAGTAGAGCCAAAGGATGAATCGGCAACCTCGGCCGCGGCGGTGACAAGCGGAACCGGCGAGCACATGGCTACTACAATGGCCGCGGGCCTGTGTGCAGAGCGGATATATAGCAGTATTCGAAAAGTCCCAGGCAAGCCGGGAACTTTCGAGGAAGTCACTGAAGATGAAGCTTTGAAGGCCGTGATCGAGAATGAGTTCATGGGTACGTTATTGACTTTGTTCCGCTTCCCCCTAGCCTACGCAATTTTACTTCTATGCTGTATGATTCGTTAGTATTAACTTTGTTCTTGTGCTATACTCTGGCCTGTAGGTCATCCCGGTGTCAAAGCGAGCCATTGCCATGCTGCGATAGGAATCATGGCTGTCAAAAGGACAACCGAAGGGATAGCTTTCTTTTTTGGGCATAACACGGACTCCTTTGTGAGAACTACTTCCCCAAATGATTATAGGGAGCCTTATTTGAGCTAACTGCCAACCGTTCTTTCACAGGCCATTGCCTCAATGACTTCAGATGATCCCGAGCCGTGCTGCCTTATGTCCCGAAACAAAGGTTACAGCAAAGTGGCACAAGGAGGACGATATACTAGGTTGAACAGGTAAATTGCATCTCGCAATGCGCCCAGCATCCTTCCCGTTCCCATGATTCAACGAAACCAGTTTACAAAGTAGTTTGAGAGTGCTGATGATTTCTCGCGGTAGATCTAGATACAAGCCAAGCAAGTCATAAACCAGCTTTGCGGCCAGATACCCTCGGATTTCCGGTCAATTTTAGGGGGGAAAAAATATCCGGACGAAGTTCCTATGAAAGACGGTTGTGTTGCCTTTGGAGGCTGGCATCCTCTTACCTAATCTGACCCTGAACCCCATTAAACTTGCTCTTCCGTGCTCTTCCTAAATATTTTGTCATATGCTCCTCTCAGCACATAAAACGGGCGGGTATGGTTGGTAAAATGGATCTGGAATGATGCGAGGGCAGTGAGGAAGCCTTTGTTTTTGTCTTCACAACCTCGCGTAGTTCCAAATTCCAATTGGGTTTTGAGATGTAGTGCTAGGGAAATCCTATAAAGTCTCTAGAACCCTTTTAGTTTCATTTTTTTATGTAATCTGCGTACATGTTTTAAGAATCCCTTAGAGGTAATCTTCAAGATCAACTCACTCTGAGGATTACGGAATAGGGTTTCTGGACGAAGGGAAGGATGCGAAATGGGTCCGATTGGTATGTATATTGTCTCTGGTGATCTCCTAAGGTAAAGTAGGTGTTGATGTTGGATTAGAAATTGGAGTCGCTCCGCCAGACGAGCCTCCATTTGCGACGAGGGCCTTTGTAGCACCCTTTTTACGCTTCTTCTTCCTCGCGATGACAACCGGCTTCGCACCGTAATCTCCCAACTCCAAGTGAGTACCGCAGGTCAGACAGTCCGCGCCCTCTGGAGGCTCGCAGAAGATGCTCAGGCAAATGCTGCAGACGAAGCCCACATCGACGACCTTCCGGTGGCAGAAGCAGGCGGCGCGGAAGTCAACGTCAACGCGTGTGGGCAGGATCAGGTGTCGCCGTGAGCGCTGGTCCGGGAGGAAAGCCACCATGAGGTACTGTAGGAATCCGCGGGGGTGGTCTACGGGAACGTAGATGCCGCGGGTGGCGTCGCAGGCTTGCTGGAGGAAGACGGCATCGCCGGAGAGTTTGCAGATGTCGATGGGGATATGCAGGCGCTGGCAGGCGAAGATACTGTTCATGATAGGGATGTACTGGTGGGCTGAGCCCGTGGCGCTGCTTACGGAGATTATGAGGATGCGGGACTGGAGGCCGGTCGGGGAGGAGTGGGATGATTGTGAGGTTGGGTCTGGGTGGGAGCCTGGTGGTGGAGGGAGGCCGGTGGCCGTCGGGGTGGGATTGGAAGGATCGCTATCGAGTCTGGAAGTGCCGTGGGTTTCGGCGTAGGCGATTGTCTCGCGGTTTATGTGGCTCAGGGCAAGGGTGAGAGCGCCGGCCATCATGGTCGAGGTGGCGGAGCTGACGGAGGCCGGGGAGGTTGTGGCGAGGAGGGCTTTGAGGTTGCGGGTTAGTTGCTCCTCGACGATGCGGAAGGGGCGGTATTTGTTGGATGCTGGGCTTTCGCCTCCTGTTGTGGAAGACATGGCGACGTCTCCGTCTGTGTCTGCTGGCTCATCTTGGTTTGTGTTTGATGGGGCTGTGGTTGGGGTCGGATACAGCCATCGGGCCTCTTGGGAGTGGCTGGCGACAACAGCCACCTTGTTCGCATAGTTGCAAGCGAGATGGGCGTTGACGAAGACGAGGAGATTGGCGACAGCTGTGGAGAGTGGGAGGGTGTCTTCTAGCAGGGCCCAAGCGTGCGGGTTGGTGTCGAGCACAATGGTTAGGAGTGATGCAGCGGTATCTGGGGGAGAAAATCACTCAGTCAGCTTTGATCCTATTTTATCAATTTCTTTTTTTTTTCTTTTCTCTCTCCTGCGGGGCTTATTTCGCATGGTGATGGAAATCTGAAGCTTCGGATCATACCAGCTTCAAAGTGATCGGAAGAATCAACAGGGTTCATGATGCCGGGTGCCCTGACGGAGGAACACCAGGCTCGCTCCTCTCTTCCAAAGCCGGAAACGTGCAAATAAAGATCTCCTTTCCGCGAAGTTTAGCGGGGGGAGGGGAGAATTTCTTGCATGACCAGCCCGTCTCCCTCGTCGTTGAAACCCCCATGCGATGTCATCGTCCCGCAGCTTTGCGATGCTCAGAGCTTCGATGTGCATTGATGACATAAGCGGGGTTTCACAGACGTAATACACAAACGTACTCTGTACAAAACCCTGTTACAGGGGAGGGAATCGACAATACGCCTTATCAGGCCAAGCAATGCGCATCCTCGTATTCGCCTTTGGGCGTGAATATCACTCAGCTAGTCCTCACCGTCATTTTGATCGGTGAAGGTCAAGGTGAAGGAGGGTGAGAGCTTGAATTGTTGCTAGATGTATGGAGTTGCTCAGTTGCCCCGGGCTGTCTATTATATATCATATGGAGTGCTCCCAACCCCCATTGTGTTACATCTGCATTCCGAATATGCGCCGTCACAGCCAGGTAACAAACCAACAAGGAGTTCCAGCCAACCAACTAGCTATACCAACGAACTCTGGATCCCGTTATCAGATCCGATAAGGCTTTAGTTACTTCATTACCAGGAGAATGCGCCCGGCGTGCAACCAGCGCCAGCCGGGCACCTGCACAAGTCACGCCAGACCATGTCCAGGAGCTCGTGCGTGGTTGGATGGATGCATTCAGCAGCTGGGTCATACTGTGCGTAATTACTGGACAACTCTCCGCTGTGCGGCGCCTTGTTGTGATGTAACTTCCAAGAGATAGATAAGCTCCACTGCGCATGAAAAGGGAATGGTTCAGAGCATGTCCTATCTTGGGCGGTTCCAGAGCTCACCAAACCCTCTTTTGCCTGCCATGATAAATCATTTTTCACAGGACACTTTTTGCATGCGTGACGAAAGAGAGACTCTTTTCTGTCATCTCTCGCGTCTGATCCTCCATCTGTGTCTTCTTCCTCACCTTCACCAATCTGCATATCCCGCTCAACAGCCTCATAGGGACAGCGGCTCCCTGTTCTAACCACGGCCGCCCTCCTGACTCATTCCCCAACAGACACGCCTCCCAGAGGCCAGCCAGCTCCCAACAGAACTGCTGCCTTTCGCGGCCGGGGTGATCCCGCAGTTGTGCTCGTACGGAGAATCACACGGACTGCTCCGTTCGTGTTATTGCTTTTCGCCACGGAATCCTCACGCCTCCCCCATCCCCGGAGTTTTAATCCAGCCCGTGCTTGGTTGGATGGTCACCGTGCCGCCCCCGAGAGTCCCTAAACTAGCCTGGATATATTTACCTCTGTCGAGCAGCTTCTGCATAAAAATTCCGCCCGTGATTTTCTGAGTCAAAGGCGAAGGGAGGCGACTGACACAATAGATACAACTCTTCCTCGATTTTCCCACCAAACGAACTGAGACTGAAAGAAAACCAACACCGTATTTCTTTTGACAGAACGAAAAAAAAAGAAAAAAATACACTCAGATTCAAGTACGCCGCCCATGGTTTCGGTGCTTAATAACGATCAGGCGGCGCGACTTGTAAGGGAAGCTGTTGAGCTTGTAGATGCTGGCCATCGCGAGGTCCGTCCCGGATCCCTTCTCAAAGACCTGCAGATGAGTTCCCATGCTAATTTGGCCCCTGGGTTATTCTCTAGGCTGCCTCCCGCAACCTCCGCGAAGCCATAGCTCTCGCTCCTGAAAACGCCGAAGTTAAAGCGGCATTTTTGAAAGTTCGAGAAGATGAGGAGAATAACCACACGCTGCTGAACCTTTGTCGGCGTTATATCCACCAGCAGGATGAAGATGCCGGCAAGGAGGCAGCAAGATACCTTCGCCAAGAGGGGCTTGAGCCGCCTACTGATGTAGCCCTCGCGTCTTTGAAGCTTGTCCTCGCATCTCCCGCCTCCAAACACTCTGCCACGCAGGATGATATAATCAGTGGTTTGGTTCGTCAAAGCGCGTCTTGTCGACAGTACTTCGCTGCAGAGCTGCAGAGCTCTGCGACGCAGTTCTTCGATGAGATATACGATCGCGGTGATGGCGCTGTGGTCTGTTTGGACACGGTCGTTCTGGATAAAGGGCTCTGGCCATCAGAGACCAATCGGAGCCATTGTGAAGGGGAGCTTCTCCAGCTGTTTATCGCAAAGCTGATGGAATCCGGTCATGACCATGACGGCCGCTCCCTCAAAGGAATCGCGCGACTTCTCGCTGTCGATGCACAATGCCTGCATCATCTAATCGACGAAGAAGGATTCGATGTGATCCTTTCTTCTCTTGACCTAAGACTTCCAGTTGATGTACGCAGCCAAGCGACCTTGGCGACTGCAAAGTACCTGGAGGCGTCCCAAGAGACCGGTCAAGAACTTTTCACAAAGGTTGTGAAAGCGCGCGTCGCAAGGCGTAGATGCGAAGACTACATCATCGCTTTCTCCGCTGCTGCAGTTGTCTTTCCTCTCGTACCCGCCATAGCGTCAACCCTTTTCTTATCAGAGGGATTTCTACAGTCACTTACTCCCTTGCTTTATAAGAGACAAAAGTACCCTGCTTTGGAATTAGCAGTCCTGGAGCTATTTAATGCGGCTTGCATCGATCGAGCTTGCAGGGATGCTATTGACAAGCACCATTCAGAATGTTTGTCATATACCCTCAGCAACGGATCACAGGAAGCTGCGGGTCTTTCTGCAGTGATTCTAGCGAAAATCCAGGCCTCTGAAAAAAAATCAGAAGCTTTGTCAAGCCGTATGCAGGAAGTAAGCACTGAATCCCATGACTTGGTGGAACGGTTTAAAAATTTGCTCTCTGAACAACCTTCGGGAGAAGGGATCGGTCATGCTGCTGAAGGACTGGCGTATTCCTCCGTGAAACCGGAAGTGAAAGAGCAAATAGCAAAGGACTCGGACTTTCTCAAGAACCTGGTTCACATTCTGAGGAACAGGAAGGCGGAGAATACGCTGTTGTATGGTGGGCTCATGACGATATGGAACGTCACCAAATATCGACCGAATCTATCAGAGGAGCAAAGGAAGCTTTCGGAACTTAAAGCGTACGCGAATACCTCGAAGCCAGCGCAACCTCATAAACTAGACGATGAAGAGCACGTGAAAATTCGTTGCACTGCCGTCATTGATGCCGGCGTTGTGCCTCTACTGATTGATTGCGAAAAGCAGAATCTCTCGTCGATAAAGAGCCTTAACCATCAGATCCTTTTGGCTCTGTCGAGAGACCCTAAATCGAGAGGAAAGCTAGCTCAGCAAGGTGCCGTGAAACTTCTCGTCGCGGCCCTTAATCCAGGAGGGGACGCGGCTCGGAAATTGAACGACTCTACTTATAATGCTGCGCACGCGCTTGCACGAATTTTAATCTCGGTGAATCCATCTCACGTTTTCCCATCTTCGGGATTCCCCCAGATCACTTCAGCGGTTCGGCCATTACTGCTTCTCCTTACTCCATCAGAGACGAGTTCTACGGACCAGCCACGCGACCTCCTCCCAATTTTTGAAAGCCTTCTTGCCCTAACAAATCTTGCATCGTCACCCGACAGAAACGCCGGAGCGAGCATCGTCCGTGCCGGATGGACCACTATCGAGGACCTACTTTTGTCAGGTCACAGCTATATCCAACGTGCTGCCTGCGAGCTCGTTTGCAATCTGATGACCTGCGAACAGGGTATCGGTAAATTTGCAGACAGATCGGCCCGCGCGAGCCAGCGTCTACATATAATTCTCGCTCTCGCGGACGTGGAGGACCTTCCGACCCGCCGAGCGGCTGGCGGCGCTCTGGCTATGCTTACTGAATACGAATCGGCGGTGTCTGCCATTCTTGATCGGGAGCGGGGATTGAAGATTATTCTGGGACTGTGCGCCGACGATGACGATGGCTTGGTGCATCGGGGCGTTGTTTGCTTGAACAACCTTGTCCGGGCCACCGGCGATATTGGCAAGCGGGCAAAGAAGGACTTACTCGAGAATGGCGCACTAGATACGTTGAAGACGTGCCTTACACAATCGCATAATCCGGCAGTGGTGGAAAGCGGAGTTGAGGCGTTGAAAGCGTTGATCAACTGAAAGCGATACGTGGCAGTAGACCGTGGTTTTTCTTGGTTTTCCATCCTTGTTTACCTTTTTTTTCCTCCTCTTTCTCGGAATGACTATTTAATCCAGAGCATAATATACATCGGGGGCAGGCATTGGAAATTATTGACATGACTGGTGATTTGGAATGGCAGGGGGGGTTTGGCCTTTTTTTTTTCGTTTTCCTCTCGGTTTTGTTGGGTGCAGTGACCAAACTCGTCCCCGCCGGGGCGAGCGATTTCGGTGATTCTTTTACATGCTTTTCCCGTTTTGATAATGGTTTTGGTGTCTACGGCGCCAGGGTGAACGTTTATTCTGGCTTTTTTTGGCGCTCCATTCACTCCTGTTCTTTTTCTTTGGGTTTTGGCATTGGGCGTACGTGGCGGGCGTTTCCTGTGTCTCCATTCGAGTTCCTCTTTCGTTTTCTCACACGACCGAGTGGTGCGTGCTGTACTTTCTGAGATTATGATGATATGAGTTGATTATTCTGTAGTCGAGAGTAATCCATGTCTCCCTGGTCTTCAGATATACATTTTATGACCAGAGTTTGGCTGTTGTCGTCGCACGTCATCCTTGGTACTTACATCTTTCACCATCATACGAAGCAGCCGTATATTATGTCCATCATCCCGGGTCACAGCTCCTGGAAACGCATGAGGGCTCCTCAGTCGGAGGACGGCCGCTTTATCAAGACATCACCCCCCGTATCCCAACGGCCAATGCCACCGGTCTCCCATTTCCTAGTTGATTGGTCACTTGACCGCTGGGCACAGGCCGGGAACTTCGGTCGTTTTCGGCGTCGAAAGCTTGTTCTGGGCGCTCCCTTGGCATCCGTCACAGCTCGAATCCCTGGCGACGAGGATACAGGGGGTTCTGGGGCGGCATTTGCTCTGTCGAGTGGCGCTTTGATCACTCAGGGTGTGTCGTTTCCACTGGAACACATGGTGGGCGTGTTCTGGTTTTGCCAGGAAATGGGTTGGAAGGGGGGAAGAGGAGGGTGTGCCGGTAGTCCACTATATTGGTTGAAAGTTCAAGTGTGGTCCAGCGGGGTTGTTTCGATTGGAAATATGCGCTGCGTACCGTAGTTATGGTGGTGAATATGAGTTTTTTTTTTGACATGTTTAGGTTGGGGCTTTTGGGTCCTTTTTTTAATTCTTGTTTCCTGATTTTGAGAATGGCTGACCTGGTCATGCGGAAGACGATCGATTTATCTTCCACCGTTTGGATCGTTTGTTAGAGGAGCTTTTGTCGGTCGATTTGTCGGCTATGAGCAGCAGCTTCGGCGTTTGTATCGTACATGGTGAACCTCTCGCCTGTCCAACGGGATATGAGCCTGGAGGCACGCTTTATTGCTTTTTGCGGGTGTTCATGATCCTGCGTTAGGTGGGTTAGTCGGTTAATCAATATGGGATGGGAGGATGGATGGAGCACCCGGGAGGGTCTTCTCGGAGACAGGGAGCTGGCCGTTTGCGATGCTGCACCTCTCTCGTCTCGCCTGCAGAGTGTCACTGGGGTGGAGGGCAATTGTCCAATAACCGTCGGTTTTCTCGAGAGGTTCACGAGCTAGTTGGTTAGTTTATTATTTTTAACTCAGCTGCTGTTCTCCGCCGCCTCAGTTAGCTGCAAAAAGTGCAACTCGTACGGAGTTCGAAGTACGGAGTACAGAGCGGACTAACCAGCTCATCAAGCAAGGAGTCGTCGCCGGTGCGCTTCTCCCAACTCGATTCCCATCGCATCCTCGCTTCTCCGGCAGAGCGAACGATAAGAATCACTCGCCGAAGCCCCCCGCCACATTCTTCCGGTGGTAGGTTTGCCCCATCCCCTGGTCCCTTGCTCATCGTCAACCTGGGTTCGCCGTCGCCCAGCGGTCCTCCCGCTCCAATCGTCTCTGCACATGAACCTCTCCGTCCCCACTAAGTACGCCACGACAGGCTAACAGACCAAGCTTTTTTGACTTCTTCTCAAACGTTGTTAATTGCTGGTTAAATCTCAGGCCAACTTAAACCATCTCCTCCACCTCATTTAATCCCCTCGACTAACAAGTTAGTGACCACCTCACCTCCTTTTTCGAACTGTTGCTGAGCAGTCATATCCAAAGACAACGGGTTTATACCGCCATCTTCCGCCTGATGTATTGACACAACTCGATCCCGATGGCGCCCTCAACCATTTTCTCGTTTGCTTGCCTTTCTTTCCGGGTTCGTTTACGCCGTTCGACTTTCATTTGAGAAACAAAGTGCTGCACCGGTTTTCGCTCTGTTTTTGCCCTCACTATCTTACTTTTTTCCCTTCTTCTCCCCTTCTCGGGCTATTTTCTTTCGTTTCGTCTGGGAGGAATTTCGAACCTATCCTTTTAACCGTCGATTTCTTCAAGTCGTCCTTTGAACCCGGTCTTTTCCGCTCTGGCGCCATCGTGAAACGGGTTGGTTGTCGCATAAGGGTCAAGGCTAGACGAGACGAAAATCCTCTGGAAGGGCTTGTAGCAACTCCCCTCAGGGTTTATTGGGAGTTGTTCGTCTCGAGTAGCGGGTCAAGATGAAGTTTGGAAGGAATTTACCCCGTAATATGGTGCCGGAATGGAGTGCCAGCTACATCAAATACAAGAGCTTGAAGAAGCTCATCAAGTCCGCGATCCAGGCGAAGAAAAATGGAGAGGAGCCTGATCTGGCTGGTATGAAAAACCGCAGAACTCGTCGCTACTCTTGTTAAAGGGTCTCAGATTTGCTAACTTTTACGTGACGGGTCGTAGGCTTCTTCTATTCCCTCGACCGAAACCTCGAAGATGTGGATCAATTCTACAACAAAAAGTTTGCAGATTGTTCCCGTAGATTGAAGCTGCTTGAAGACCGCTTCGGTCACTCGGTGATGCCTTCACACCGGCTTGATGCTGAAGATTTGGATGATCTTTTGGCCGCTTTGTTGGAGCTGCGTGGACAGCTGAGAAAGTTACAATGGTACGGCGAGGTGAATCGTCGAGGATTCATTAAAATCACCAAGAAGCTGGACAAAAAGCTCCCCGGTGCGCAGGCGCAAATGAGATACTTGCCCACCAAGGTTGATCCGTCGCCGTTTGCAACCAACGCTCGGCTGACGAACCGTATGAAAATTGTTAACGACTGGTTGTCGGTGCTCGGAGACGAAAAATCCATGGACGATGCCAGTTCGACCCACTCTTCTCTATCTTTGAAGAAAGTGCCGTCTCGCCAGAGCCTAAACCTCCCTGCAAGCCTGCTTAATGCTGTCGATGAGGCTCTCCGTAGGGATGACACCCACATCCTTTTAGAGCTACTGCAGACATTAAAGATCGCGGCCGATGATCTTGGCGACAATGTATACCCCAGAGTATTGAAATCACTTTTGCAGCGATCGATTTTCAACCGCTCAAAGGCGTGCCTCATTGCTTTGCTCGGAAAGCTTGAAAACCTTGAAGAAGAAGATGATATTAACAAACGCAACTGTATCCATCGCTTAGTGATCTCTATTGGAAGATCACAAACAACCGCCGATTCTGACACCTCTGCATCTACGGTTCTTAACTTCCCCGTTGATAACTCGAATTATATAACTCCGGCGGCTCCGCCCTCTCTTGTACCACAGGTCCCCGTGACAAAGGAGGCAGACCAATCCACGATTTTGCAGCGTGATGACCCTTCTGTCGCATTTCTCGAGTACTTGCTAGACAATCTCCAGCCCCGCCATCGTTCTGCTTTGCTGGCCAAAGACATCTCTGGCCGCACCCCGTTGCATTACGGTGCGCAGTATGGGTTCAAGGTTGTCTGCGAAGTGATCATCGAGCACCTTCAGGCATGGGATATGTTTGATGTCTCGGAAGGCATCGACGGCCCTAACTGGCAAGACGAAGAAGGTTGGGCCCCTTTACATCTGAGCGTCGTTCGAGGGCACCCTCTCACGACCCGGGCTCTCCTCGATGCGGAGAACTGGAGGGGCAGGAGCGAGGAAAAGGCGGCCATCCGGAAACACGTTTCCAAATCTAGTGCCGTTCTCGCTTTGGCTACGAAAGCGAACTTCATTGACATTGTCCAGCTCTTGGTTGACGCCGACGTTGATATCAATTATCAAGATGACCAAGGAGAAACTGCCTTGCATGTTGCTGCTCGGTTCGGCCACGAGAAATGTGCGAAAGCGCTTCTCGAAGGCACAGAGCACCAAAAGGCAAACACAGAGCTTGCGGAGAACACCTACTCCTGGACACCTTTATTCATTGCTTGCGTTGATGGAAATATTGGTGTTGTCCAACTTTTGATTGAAGCTGGTGCTGACCTCGAGAGACCTGATTCTTCAGGATGGACTGCCAAAGAACATGCTGCACTCAGAGGGCATATTTCGATCGCGAAGCTTTTGGCAGAAGCTACATCCACCACCGAATGTTGCAGCGAGTCCGATGTTTCTGTGCCCACTACCCTCTCTTCGTCTCCACCGCTTCAATCCTCCCTGGCCGATCGCAAATCCAACACCAATGGAAATGGTCGGCCCGCAGAAGCCATTAAGACCTTTGGCCATAGATATTTGACTGATGAGAGCATGATCTTGGTCAGTCTTGGGACAATGGACATGAGGAAGCACATTCCGGCGGTCAACCTTGACCGCATTCCCATGGCAAATGCACATCTTACTCAACTTGACACTGCTCTATCCATCGTTGTTTCTGCAAGTGGTGCTCATGGTGAACCAGAGATCATTGACCTGCCGATCCAGGATAACCTGTCTACCGAACCTATTGTTTTCCATTCCGCCGATGCGACCAAGGCGAAGATTATTTTTGACCTGGTCCCAACTTATGCTGGGTCAAAAGATCGTGTCCTTGGAAGAGGAGTTGCATTGTTATCCAGCATCAAGCCTCACGTGGGATCTAAGCGCATCAGTCTTCAAGGCGACTCCACCGTGCCCATTATCGCTGCCAACACCCTTGACGTTATCGGGTCGGTTACGTTCAACTTCTTGATCATTACTCCGTTTTGTCATCCGAAGATGTCGGTCAAGGAGGATCAGACGTACTGGAAGACCATGGCTTCGACAATGGTTATCGGACATCGAGGTGACTTCACTTCGCGTTTTCATCCTTTTGGTTATGTGTACTCCTAACCTATGTAATCTGTAAAGGTCTTGGAAAGAACATCGCTGGCCGGAAATCATTGCAGTTGGGGGAAAACACGGTCCAGGTGTGTTGCATTTAGGGATCTTGGAATAGTGTTTATCTAACCATAACAGTCCTTTATCGCTGCTGCAAACCTTGGAGCATCTTATGTTGAGGTGAGTTGCGTAGAAATATACCGTCGAGTTGTGTATCGTGGCTAACAGGCTATATAGTTTGGTATATATTACTTGTCCTTTCCCGCAGAAATGGTGTGTTTGGCTAATTGAAGTAGATATTCAGCTGACCAAAGATCATGTTCCTGTTATCTATCATGACTTTTTAGTCAGCGAGACAGGAATCGACGCCCCGGTGCACACCCTTACTTTGGAACAAGTCAGTAGCTTAGACTACTTGAGGAGAGTTTTCACAGACGCTAACCGGTTGCTAGTTCTTGCATGTCAGCGACGGTCGAACTCCCCGTGCGACTCAGAATACCAGGAGCGCTCGAAGTGCTAATCCGTCGCTGGACAATTTGCGAGAGGCTCCTATACGGCAGAGATCTATGTCGGTTGGTGAAGAATTGGGTGTGCCAAACTTTGATGAGAGGATGAAGCATACCAGAGATTTTAAGAAAAAGGGATTCAAAGGCAACACACGCGGAAGTCATATTCAAGCCCCTTTCGCCACGCTCAGAGATTTATTCAAAGAGCTACCGAAATCGGTTGGTTTCAACATGGAAATGAGTAAGATTCTTTTTATCTTCGCTTGCTGTTTGCATGCCAAGCCATCTAATGAAATCTTCAGAATACCCTATGCTTCACGAAAGTGAGGAAGAAGAGATGGACACCTACGCTGTCGAGCTTAATTCATTTGTCGACACCGTGCTCACCACCGTCTACGATCTCGGCGAAGGTCGCAACATGATTTTCTCATCGTTTAATCCAGACATCTGCCTGCTTCTCTCCTTCAAACAGCCCTCTATCCCTGTCCTGTTTTTGACAGACTCGGGAGTCGGGGCTGTCGGAGATATCCGCGCGAGTAGTTTGCAGGAAGCGATTCGCTTCGCGTCCAGGTGGAATCTCTTGGGCGTTGTCACGACGGCAGAACCACTAGTGATAAGTCCCAGATTGGTGAAGGTGGTGAAAGAGTCTGGATTGGTTTGCGTCTCGTACGGGGTGGCGAATAATGATCCGGCGAACGTCAAGGTAGGCTCAGAAAGTGTCCCTCGACATGTTAAATTTTTTTAGTAAGTAATGCCGCTAACATTTCTGGTGTGATTTAGTTACAAGTCAACGAGGGCATCGACGCGGTTATCGTCGACAGCGTTCTCGCTATTCGGAAAGGTTTGACGGAGGCGGAGAATCAGGTTACTTCGTCCTAGTTTTTGGCATAGCTGTTATGATACGGCAGCCTGCTCTAATGTGTTGTTGAAACATTTTTTTTTAGTAATAGGCACTACGTTTCCATGTTTCCAAGCCATAGACCTAATACTTCTTGGGCTTCAGGTCCTCCTCTTTGGAATGATAAAGCTGATTGTCATCATGTTAACACTTAGTTACGCGCGCTTCTTATTCAGCGAGCCTGCCAGCCCTGATGGTGCATCAAGTCTGGGAGTCGGTTTAGTCGAGGAATTTTCAAATACCTGGCTCGAGTTGTTGGCTTTTGTCAAGCTCTGCTCAAGCTTTGTTTTCTTATTTAAGATTTCGTTTTATTCTTTTTTCTTTTTGATACCTAAACTTAAGCTAAGAGTATATGGGACATGGCGCCTGTGTAGGTGATCACTTTAACATGCCGACCTATAGACGACTACGCCATGCTTCCTTTTCATTCTCACTGGAAACGCTCTTGTTCTACATGTACGTCGAGAAAGACCTCACAGACAACGCCAACTTGCTCAAGAAACCAGACTCAGCGCCTGAATGGCTGATTAGCAAAATGATTGTTGATATCAACATTCGCAGTGTCTCTACTGATCGTGATGGCAGAATTCCTCTGCAATACTACACCGAAATCCCCTACCTTTGTGAAGATATACAGGAGGTAGTGGGCGCAGAGAAGTAGCGACTCCTTGTCTTTGTGGAATATCTTATCGTCCATTTCACATTGTAGCTTCTCTATAATTGCTTGAGTACAACGTCCTATCCCTACGTGCTAGTATGCCTTCGTCAGGATGGACAAGCATACGTGACGAGTTCAACAACCGGCACACCGGGATCGAAGTCCTTGTTGTAGCTTGCGATTTGTGCTCCATGGGCGTAAACCTTCATCAAGAATGCTCTGAAGTGGTGTTTCTAGAGCCGGCCATCCACGTCAATATGACATTGAGTGCGATCAAACAGGTCCATAGCTTGCAGCAGGGGCGCAAGCAGCGAATTTGGATTCTATCAAGGGCGAGCACATTTGACCCGCTTGTGGAATTTAGACAGACTGACCAGATGCTTCCACAAATCATTGGAATGACACAAGAATCGTTCCGCGACTTGAAAGATAAACTCGCTGCACAATCAGGCTAATGTATCACTAGAGATATATTGTCGACTAATAAAACAAAGAACAGACTTCATATGGCTGAGGACAAGATCAGAGCGCGAAGAGATGGCCTTCACCGAACTATGTTCGAACAACAATGCATATGATTAACTCGTGAAATCATAGAAAATTTGGACCTATTTGAGAAAAGTCTTGCAGAATTAAAGAAAATGCTATCCGTCGTCTCTCCTCCAGGCCTCGCAAGAACGACCGCGGAGGTGTTAAAGATAGTCTGACCACCTTGGATGGCCGCTATGCAAGAAACCAGCTCCATGGGCCAGCAGTCTAAACCCAAGCCTACTGAAGCCCCTGCTGAACCTCAGAATAAGTCTCGAAATGAAAAGACGAGTGGCATGACGAGCTGCGAGAAGCGTAAGGAAGTTGTAATCAGCCACAGAGTCATTGGCGAAACGTGTCAAGGACTGCGCAGGAGTGCGTGATAGCTTTTAATCTGTTAGGACTTGAAATGTGCGATCAGGATGTATCCAATAATCAGCTTGTAGTATCCAATTATTCTTTGAGTGATCTAGTAGTTATGTGGCATGATTTGCATTCATCAGATCGCATGTAGCTGGCTCGATGCCGATTACATTAGACATCCATCCTTAATACTTGAATGAAATTCACTCATCGCTACACGCAGCTTTCGGACACCATTCCCCGTTGCTTCACGTAGCTCGTAGACCTCCACGATCCACTCATACCACACCTTCCTGTCATCGGTTTGTCGATACATGGTGACAACCGCTTCGGAGTTTTCAGGAACGTGCAAGGGTGTCTGTGTTTTAACAAAGCATAAAATCAGTATTATCCGAAATCATCAACTTGCTAGAGGCCAGGTTCGATAGGGCTTACCTTTAATGGGAAATAGATCGGAAACCAACTTATCATCCCTTCGCTCTTTGTGTCCATCGTTACTGGGTTTGTGGACAACTCCACATCGTCATACAGCACTGTTTCAAAATATCCACCCAGACCGTGACATACACCACGTTCTCGGCAGGGAAACGTAAGCCGTGTTTGACGCACATTGTGTGCGTTCGACAGGACGGATGACGACCTGGAAGGGGGTGGGATATTGGAGTTTGGATGGGAGAAGGACCAAGCTGTATGGACGATAGGCGTTGGAGTTTCGAACGTAGGTGGAGGCGTAGGGGTCTTGGTGATCTTGTTTGAAGGCAAGGAATTCTGACCGTTTGAAGATTTTGGACTGGCTGTTCCTGAGGCGGGTTGAACCGTGGAGAGGAAGTCAAATGCGTGAAGCATGACAACGTATGGTGTCTCTGGGGCTGCTGGGTTAGACGCGCTTTGAGCAGTAACATCAGCATGGAGACGAGGAGAGGATATAGGAGTAAGGTGGGCGGAGTATGATGCTGGAATGGAAATTCCATGGTCTGGGTTCAGGAGATGCGTGACTCCATCAAGACACTCCGGGGACAATTCATTGTCTCCGAAAGAGCCTAAGAGCTCGGAAACAAAGATGTCAACAGGGTAATGAAGCGTCGAGGCATCTTGTCCATCAGGTCCCCGTAAGGCCACGCGATGGGGACCTTTCCAGCTCCTCATGTCAGATTGGCACAAATTTACGCTCCCTGCCCATATAGTCTTGTTTTGTCGTTGAAGGTGGACGAATGCGTTCTGGTTCTTTTCAACAGCCCACATTTCAATATCCACACCTGCCTCGACACTTGCCCGTATCGCTCTGGTCACCAAAGGCCCGCGGCCAGCCCCAACCACTGCGACAACAACACGTCCATCTGGGGAAGAAGTTGTCTTCTTTTTGGCTATCCAATCTTTCAAAGCTTTTGCAATCGCACGTTCATACCATTCATACTTAATAGGATCTTTTTCAAAAACTTCATATGTCACACTCTCCAGATTCACGGTCAGCGGTTGCAACGGCGCTTGCAAAAAGTCTTGATACCCCACTCCGAAGCGCTCCATAGGCGTGCGGGGCGGTTGTTTTGTTTGGAGATTTCGTATATATGAAAGATGAGGCGTTGGGTCGTAGCTCTTTTTGCTAAAATTGGGACCGAGCCTTTGCACTGCTTCCGCGGGGGTGGGAGATTCATCACTCTGCTGAAAAGGATCGGGAATAGGGCCAACATCACATAGAATAATCCAAGGTTGCACCTTAAGGCGCATGAACCGAGAAATCAGACCCTGATGCACCCTAGACAGGACTGGGTATCCCTTTTGATTTTTCACGAACACATTGCCGTCAATGGTCAGAATATGGACAGGTTCAGAGAGCCACCTTGATTGCACAGGTGCAGAAGGAAGATATTTAGGTAGCGTCAAGGCTACGAAGTCAAATATTAGTATGATTTATCGGGTAGAAAGAAAGGAGAAAATGTGACATCTGACGAAGCGAATGGTGCAAAAAGGGTATTTAGGAGTACAAATGACGCGGAAATGAAGAAGCAAATCTGTTTCATACCTACGAAGAGACGCGAGTGATGTTTACAGACTCTCCTAACCGCATCCCACGCATCCCAAGTACCAAATTGATCCGGATCAGTGGATACAGTTGGGTCCTGCTGATGTAGATATTCCGCTCGCGCAAAGGGAGCCAAGTTGCCAATGTCAGTGGTCTCCGCACTGGGGTTATCGGTCATCTGAAACCAAATATGTACTTGGATATAGGGCGCAACATTCAAGACTTCCTGGATCGTGCGAGCATAATACATTAAGCCTTCGCCACGAAGGCTCCCATGATGTAATCTGGGTCCTTGAATGATGACATAGCTCACACCGCAGAACGCAGCATAGGCAACCTCATGCATTAATATTTGGCGAGAGACGTCCGCGATTAGAGGATCCGGCGAACAGAGATCAATCCACTTGCTGGTGATGGCAATCACATTGCCTAGGGATCCATTCGGGCTCAGATGCGAATCGGAAAGCGACAAGGATGGAATTGTAAGAGGTTTGGTGTTCTGGGATGTCGCCAGCGTGCCACACGCATCTTGGACCGGCCGCTCCAGGCTACATAGATGGGAGCCAATCAAGGTGAGGACGTTGGAATGAAACTCGGACGTTGTAATTGGAGTTGTGACAACATCATACTTCAGCAAGGTTAGCCATTTCCTGAGCATAAAGAGAGAGGAAATCATCCATACATTGCAGTCGTGAGCCCGCTGGACGGTGTCCAGAGACACAGGTAGTTTTCGGTCACTTTCATGCTGTCCCACTACAAATGTGGGAGTCCAACTGTCCGAGGCTTCCATCATGCATAGATATCACTAAAAACCAAGCAGCTTCTCCCACCGATCCGAATTGCTTCCCGAAACCCTGGAGAAATATTTTCCTCAGGCCTGGTGGAGCGGGGCGGGAGTTCGCGGTTCTATTTGGCTATTTAGCAGAGCTCGCAATCACGTCATGTTTATCCAACTATGAGAGAACCAAATGATCAACAAGCAGAAAAAGTAATCGCGGGATCTTCGCTCTGGGAGCTCATCGTGCCTCTCTGCGCAGGTTGCTTCGATGTTTGGCAGATTCGACGAATTGTGACGGGCGTGTGCCAGGGCAAGTTTGGCGCGATAAGAGAACTCGGCTAAGTTTCCTATCTCGCCCCACGCGAACTTTTTTTTTTATCACATCGCCAACTGCGCATCAAAGAGTCCTCACTCCATCTTTACCTCCCGTAGCTTTTCCTGCCTATAAGAACTAGTAGCTATGGCTCAAAAGCGCCCCAAAACAGAAGAGAAACCTCCAGCGAAACGACTGAAAACCACCGCCACAAATGTTGATCCGCGCGACAACCCCTACCTTGCCCATATGTTCGAAGACTCGGCGAACGGCAACGGCAGAGCTAATGGAGCTTCAACGGACTCTCCTTTAGCCGAATTCAAGAGGCACAAGACGAACTCTGCGATGGCAAGGGCGGTGGAAAACTCCAAAGTTAATCCTTTCACCGGCAAGCCTGCAAGCGAGAGATACTTTTCCATCTTGAAAACGCGTAGAGACCTGCCTGTCCATGCGCAAAGGTGCGTTGTGATGCGCTTTCCGTCCTCTTTCATTCCCATGAATCTAATACCTTTTCCCTCTTGGCAGAGATGAATTCTTGCAGCTCTACCAAAAATCGCAGATCCTGGTTTTCGTTGGTGAAACCGGTTCTGGTAAAACGACGCAAATTCCTCAGTTTGTACTTTACGACGACCTTCCTCAACTCCGAAACAAAATAGTGGCATGTACCCAGCCTCGTCGAGTAGCAGCAATGTCAGTCGCTGAGCGCGTCGCCAACGAGATGGACGTCAAGCTTGGAGATGAGGTCGGTTACAGTATTCGATTCGAAGACATGACCAGCCCTAAAACTATCTTGAAATATATGACCGACGGCATGTTGCTAAGAGAAGCTATGCACGACCCTGATCTTACTCGCTATAGCACAATTATCCTCGACGAAGCCCACGAGCGCACAATGGCGACAGATGTCCTGATGGGGCTGCTCAAGGATGTTGTAAAGCGCAGAGCCGATTTAAAACTGATTGTTATGTCTGCGACGCTGGATGCGCAAAAGTTCCAACGTTACTTCAACGACGCTCCTCTCTTAGCTGTTCCTGGCCGTACTCATCCAGTCGAAATCTTCTATACACCAGAACCAGAGCAAGATTACGTGGAAGCTGCGATTAGAACCGTCCTGCAGATTCATGCCACCGAGCCGGAAGGCGATATCCTCTTGTTTTTGACCGGCGAAGAAGAAATTGAAGACGCCGTTCGCAAGATCTCCCTGGAGGTAGATGAAATGATCCGAGAGGCGGATGCTGGCCCGATGAAAGTCTATCCCCTGTATGGCACGCTTCCACCTGCTATGCAACAACGCATTTTTGATCCAGCCCCTCCGCCTCGTAAGCCGAACGGACGTCCTGGAAGAAAATGCATCGTCTCCACTAATATCGCCGAAACGTCCCTTACCATCGACGGTATAGTTTATGTGGTCGATCCTGGGTTTTCCAAGCAGAAAATTTACAATCCCCGCATCCGTGTGGAATCACTTTTAGTCTCGCCTATATCCAAGGCATCGGCACAACAGCGTGCAGGTCGTGCAGGTCGAACACGGCCCGGAAAGTGCTTCCGCTTATACACTGAAGGTGCATTCAAGAAGGAACTCATTGACCAAACATATCCGGAAATTCTCCGTTCCAACTTGTCCGCAACGGTACTAGAGTTGAAGAAACTCGGAATAGAGGACCTTGTTCATTTCGATCTCATGGACCCTCCTGCCCCCGAGACGCTCATGCGCGCTTTGGAAGAGCTGAATTATCTCGCTTGTTTGGACGACGAGGGAGAACTCACGGATCTGGGCCGTCTAGCCTCGGAATTCCCCTTGGACCCTGCGCTAGCCGTGATGCTAATATCTTCTGCTGAGTATTATTGCTCCAATGAGATCCTCTCGATCACGTCGCTTCTTTCTGTCCCGCAAGTCTTTGTACGCCCTGCCTCTCAACGAAAACGCGCGGACGACATGAAGGCATTGTTTGCGCACCCCGATGGCGATCATTTAACTCTCCTTAACGTATACCACGCATTCAAAAGCCCAGAGGCACAGGCAAACCCTCGACAGTGGTGTCATGATCATTTCCTCTCGTTTCGCGCTCTGCAGTCTGCAGACAACGTACGCCAGCAACTACAACGCATAATGGAGCGAAATGAACTCGAGCTTGTGTCTACGCCATTTGAGGACAAAAAATACTATGAAAACATTCGTCGAGCTCTAGTCACTGGATTTTTCATGCAAGTTGCCAAGAAAGAAAGTCAAGGCAAGAGCTTGTATAGAACCGTGAAGGATAATAACGACTCTGTACTGTTGCATCCAAGTACAGTGCTTGGCCACGAAGCGGAGTGGGTTTTGTATAACGAATTCGTTTTGACCTCGAAGAACTTCATCCGAACGGTGACCGCTATCAAGGGTGAATGGCTACTCGTAAGTTGTGTCCCTAGAATTTCCGGGCTTACCCCCTTGAGGTTTGAGGTTTGATATTCGAGTGCGCTGACCCCTATATCGTAGGACATGGCGCCATCATATTATGATATTTCGACTTTCCCCAAAGGCGAAATTAGGTCTGCCCTACTTCGTGCTGCAGAGCGGCTCTCACGAAAGGAGAGAATGCGTTCAGAATCGAGGAAGCAACGATAAACTGTGTTTTTTTTTTCTTTCTTTTCTTTTTCTTTCTTTTCTTTTTCTTTTCTTTTCTTTTCTTTTCTTTTTTTTTTTATGTACTTTGACGCAATTATGTTCCTTGTATTCCGACCTAGAGTTGCTCCGACCTTTTCAGATTGGATCCAATAAAGCTAGAGGCGTTTCTTGTTATTTGAGGGGAATATGTATAATATTAATGAATTCTCCGTTATTCAACCCCTTTGACCTAGAACAAGATCATATATAGATTATGATGGCGTATATTTTCCGTATCTCGGTCTCCTGATATACTTTTATTTCTTTTTAGACTTGCAGGGTCAATGCTTCTCAGATGCACCGTATAAGATCCAACTAGTCAGGCAATAATTTATTGTATTTTATTTTGACTCCATGGCCCATATATATGTACACATAGGCAGCAAGCTTCCTATCATTTAAAGGTTAATATCCAGAGAAGTCAGAAACGCCATGCCATGTCCATTTATAATTAAAACCGTCAACCCATTCACACATCCAAGTTCCCGAGGTGTGAGGTACCAAACCGAGCACCCGGTGAGGAGCGAAGAATTCCTAATATAAAGCATGGAAATGATTTTATATGGTAACCAAAAGATAGGTAACTATTCGTACAGGTATATCGAGGAAAAAAACTCGGTTACTGGCGTGGAAATCATTGAACATCAAAGTGCCACGCCGGGCAGATACTAAAAGAAAAGCCGCCGGCGTTTTCATTGTAGACTGTGCAGGTGAAAAAGGTAAAAGGTGGTCAAGGGACGACGGGTTACAAATGAGTCCTGTGGGCAGCAGGTATGGATTGGATGCTAACATAATGCACTGTATCCAGCTATGCATACGACTGTCGGTATGTCCTAAGGTTATGGATTCAGGGCAACTATCGGGGCACCTCGGTATCATCGCGGATATCAACGCTCGCGGTTTGGTTCTCGTCTTTATTGTTTCGAGCGAAACTCCCCCGATTGAGGATGGAACCTAGCCGATATCTATTACCCCTTATATTGTTAGGAAAGCCGCCGAATTCCCGATTCGCCATATTGTCTTGTGTTCGTGCATGTATTGACGACTTGGTGTGCCAGGGTGCCCTGCCGTGTGTCCTAGGTGGAGATGATATAGAGGCCTCTAATTTCGCAATTACCGCGCCTTGGAGGCTGACGACCCCCCGTAGTCTCCTTAGTTCTGTTTTGGTCGACTCGAACTCGTCTATTGGATCTTTGACTGTGGAGGTAGGACGAGAGGGACTATCGCCAAAGTTGGTTATTAACTTGTAATACTTCATATTGAAGCTCTCTTGAAGCCTCAGTCGTTGCTGCGTTAGATCATCCTCTGGAAGAAATTCCTCGACCACTCTTCGAATGCCCGGTTCAATTTTTCGTGCAAACTGAAAGTATCTTTCTCCTGGAGAGAGGTCGCCTACACTATCCACGGAATCGATGGCAGCATCTCGCCATTTCTGGACTGCCCACAATAACGCTGGCCTGGAATCTCGTGATGAGGTTGAGTGTTCCCATCTAACCCCAGAGGAGACTGCTGCATCGACAATTAGATCGGCGATCTGCTTCCTCCCACAGGTTTCGCATAGTATTATCATGTAGAGGATCAGCCGCTCAATTTCGTGCCTCGGATGATTCCTACTTGACAAAAGATAGAAGACAGCCCTCATCAAGACATGTCGACCCTTCGTCCAGTCGGCTCGAAGTGAATAATATCGAAGATAAGCTCCTAGAGTTGGGATCGTGTCACTAAAGCCCATCGCACGCAATACATCAAGCCATGCGTCGGCCTTGTGCGGTTGATCAAATTGAAGAGCGCATGCAATGAGGGAGTTGAGAACGAAGGGGCTAGGCGTCGAACTAGGAGGAATGGCTATTTCAACACCACCGATGTTGGTGGAATGCCAGCGCAAAGGCATATCGACGAACGGGTCAGGCCTCCGTAGTAAATCCAAAAAGTTTTCAAATCCAGATAAATCCCTGGCCTTGCTAAACCAACTGAGCGAAGAGACTATAACGGGAATCGTCAAGGGAAATGAATTTTTAAATAAGGAGTCCATCGCCATTTTCACCACGTCATTCATTCGGGCCCGGGCAAACTTGGAAATCAATGTCTCAACACCCCTCGGAGATAGAGGTTCCTCTGCGGCGATAAGTATCCGCGCAACTTCTGAAATAAGATGATCGACAGAAATACTCCCAGACTCGTAAAAATGAAAAAGACTCAGTAGTTTATATGACGCTGCGTTTCTCGTCTGAAGCAGACGTCCATGGTCGTCGAGATTGATATCGACGCAAACGTCGCCGTAATAAGCCTTTGAAGAAAATTTAATCTGCATAAGCCGCCTTTGTACTACTTCAAGTTTTTCAAGTAGTTCGTCTACGCTCAGATTGACCGGCTTGGGATTGTGGACACGAGTCTTGCTTTCGGTTCCATATGTATGCGCTATAGAAGGCCGCAATAATAATCTTATCCCAAGCATTCTCATAGCAAGTAGTCGTATAGCCCTCTTTCGCGTGGGTGTTATCTCTGGCGCTCCTTCGAAAGGTTCTTGTTCATCCTCATTTTCGGGAATTGTCTGGGAGGGAATTTCGGGAGCATCCTCATACAGTTCTTTAGTTGATTGCGAGGCCATACTCCGGTATCGTTCATACTCTGCCACGGGGCTTGCAGCCGTGCTATAGTGACGTCTCGCCGACCGGAAAGAACGCTGGAGTGGTCTCCATCTTCGTGCCAACGACTCCAATATACGATGCTCTTCCTCCTTCATTTCCCGGACTTCCGCTTTCACTGCTTCAATCTCCTTTTCCCGCTCAAGCCGTCGCTTCCCTTTAGACTTGGTATCCAGCATCACCGCAGTCACAAAAATGGTAGAGTAGAACATTGTAATGGAATTGCCGAGCAATAAACGTCTCCGGCTGGCCGCTGCGGCCGCCCTGTTTGATACCGCATTGGAACCAGTACTTAGACACGATATACAACGGCAAGTACAGGTCGGGGGGGCCGATCGGAACCAGAGGCTTTGCATGATCGAGCTAGGTTCTTGTCATTGCGGCCGGGTTGGCGGGCGTCAATTATCTTCCAATTCGTCTATACTCGGCACGATTCGATTTCGAAGTAACTCTGGGCGGCGACAATACTTGGGTAGCAGACACATTGATCGTAAACCGCAAGCCAGAAAGGGCTCGGACAGACGTCTCCATCACAACGACATTCTTTTTTTGCGTTGTCGTTGGGCAATCTCGGGAGGTGGGCTGCAGTGCTTACGTCAGCGTTTAGCTGCTTAACAAACGATGCAAACATTGCCCTGGCTCGCGCGTGCGGCAGCGAGAGACAAGAGGACAGGCTGTAACCCGGCGTTATGGCACGTTTCGATTTGCGCCCATGCAGCCGAAACGGCTAGATATCTAGATTCCTCGTTGTCGAAATGGCGGTCATACACAGCTTGTTGATAGCATTATTAGTGGCGATGCCACTAATATCTGCCCATATACCGGAGGTTCCCCCAGACGCGGACTGGGAGACAAGGCATATGATAGGTACGGAAGACAAATCATTATAACTAGTATCTTTCGCTTGCTGCATGGTCACCCCATTGGTCGCTATATTTCAGATTAGAGCTGACGACTGAACTCTTCACAGAGGAACATCATATTTCTGACTTCGATGCCGCCTCCTTCTTCCTTCTGCATGACTACGACAGCACTGGAACATGGACTCCCGAAGAAGTGCGAAAGACGTATGGTCTCGACGACGAATCTAATTCTAATTTAACCGAAGACCGAAAGAAACAAATCTTGACTGAGGTGTTTGCGATCTTTGATCCAAAAAGGACTGGCGTGATCACAAAGGAAGAGTGGCTGAGACTCTCCAAAGAGGGCAAGAAACTTCCCGACTTTGGCGTCGGCCCCGGACATCACGGAGATATGGAGTATGAATATGAGATTCACCACTTCGAGAAATACCACGGTGAAAATGCTAGGCCGGAGGATCTAACGCATCCGGAGGACATTGAGCATTTCCGCAGACATGACGAGGAGGAGCACGCCCAGAACAAACTCGACCAACTTCAGATGATGTCTATAGTGGAGGCAAACATCCCCGAGAAGTTTAAGAGGAGCACCTCTTAACACTGCATGCATACTCTTGGTTATGCCATGATCTTCCATATGTTATGTATTCTTTGCGAGGAGTATGGGTTTGATTTATTTGAAGAACCTTTATGAACGATTTGGCTACCTTCGGCGATAGACCGCGATTTGTGTTCATGTTAAGCATTGACCATGAGCGTTTCGAGCGAGTTTGTCCATCAAGGGTTTTGCATCCCAGAGATTCCCATAGTTACAACCTGCTATACACGAATATCAAATACACAGTGCATGACGCCTGGGGCGTATGTTTTCACCCTTTCCACGGCTCGACACTCTACAGCTGAATTCGAGCTCGATGATGGCCGGGTTTTTCTAGCTGATTGTAGAAGCGACTCAAACTCGTGAACAATATAGTCACTCTTTTCGTCGATATCGTCGACCGCAACATTCTCGTGAACATGAGCCCAACCTTGGTATTTATGGTCTAGTAATCCGACTGCTCCCTCCCAAGAATCCTGAGATGTAGGCAGTAGACCAAGATTCACATGGCGGATACTCTTCCAGGCCCCCTTTCTCTCCAGCCTCTCCTTCACCTGCGATAGAATGCGCGCAGCAAACCTATTATCACCATGGAATGCGACAACCCGGTCCTCGTCACTCAATCCCTCTATTAGCTCATCCAATCCCTCTACACTCCCGCTCGAGTCCACCCGTACACTCTTAATCTTCCAGCCATTCGCCTGAGCACCTCTTTTCAGTCCCTCAATCGACCAGCCATTCAGCTCCCACGCCCACACTCTTCCAACACCTCTTTTCAAGTAGGAAAACACGAAATACCCAATTCCGGCGTACATGTCGACCACCGCAATGTCTTTTAGTTTCTGGCCCAACTCAGCCTCCGTGAGGCCTTCAAACGTTGACGCGGCGCCGAGTATTCGCGCTTTCTCAATGATATTACCCCGACTAAACATCGAGAAGAGCGGCGCCCAAATCTGAATGATTCCAGAATTCTGCACCACCTGGACCCAGAATGCTGATTGCAAGTCCGAAGCACTGGGATTTTCCTCCTTTCCCGTATCTGAATCAGCTGGTAAATGTCCAAAGTCGCCATACAAGGGTGTAACACCCGTGGGACTCCTCATTCGATTTTCATCGCCAGAATCGCCCTTCCTAAGTGCAATTGGGGCGTTAATTGCAATATGAGTCACGCCCTGGGCAGAAAACGCCGCTGCAACGCAGGCATATAAAGTGTTCAGTTGGTCCTGCTTGAAGGAGGAGAGCAACCTCTTCCAATGAGGGTCGGAGTCGAAAGTATTTTGAGGGAGAAGGAGGAGAGGCGGGTATATTGTGTAGCGCTTAGGCAGAGAGGAAATTAGATTTGAAAATGGAATATTGGGCTCAATGAGAAATGACGAAGAGATGTGGGACGTTAAGAATTCTTCGATACCGCGCTGTAAAGGATTTGCCCGATTCCTTTGCTTGTGCCGTACTCGGGATGTGGAAAGACTTTCAGATGAAAACTTCTCCTTCGGATCATCTAAGCTTTGCGCCTGGTCTATATGGGAGGGTCGATTCATTGTAGGGACTGATAGATACAGCTCGGTTATTTATTTATTTAACGAAGCCATCAAAGATGATCACAGGGAGAGATGCAGGAAGTGGGCTAGGGATCTTTTCTGTGGAAAGTCAAATGCGGGCAAACTGGAAGTATACAATAATTTTCGAGAACACTTTACACAATACTCCGGCAACAAATATTAATATTTATTTTTGTTATTATCAGCTTTTGCCTATCAGGATATTTTAATGCTCTTTTCCAAGAGTGTACTCCGTATAGCACTCAGGATATACTTAACAGTGCGCACGCACACCTTTCAAACTTTCGTTCTTCATCTCTCATGCTGTAAGAACATCTATTATTTACTGCCTCTTTTTTGATAGACTCGGCAAAAACAGCCAAATTCCCAGGCACGCAACTAGAATTCCGAGTATGAACGGCTGTAAAATTTGTACACCTTTCTCCTGGGCGATGGCACCCACTGCGAAAGGGAATGCAGTGGATCCTGAGGCCCCGATAGCCGCTGCAAACCCGATAGCTGATACGTGAATGTGCTTCGGCAGCAACTTTGTCGCAGCAACAATGGCGATCGGGAATAGAGGTCCCAAAAAGAAGCCGACGAACGAGACCATCACCGCCGACACATAGAACTGAGGGACCAGCCAGAAGAGTAACTCGAGGACGATAGTGCACAAGAGATACACGATGACGGCATGTTTCTCAGACCTGAAGACTCGTGGAGTTACAAATCCTAGGATCACGCGTCCCACGGTAAGTCCAAGCCAAAATCCGGTTGCACTCATACCCGACGCGAAGGCACTTCCATGGCGGATGTTGATCATGAATGTGACGATCCAGCCTCCAAGGCCGACTTCCGCGCCCGCATAAATTGAGATGAAGATGCTGCAGACCCAGGTGACTCTGTTCTTGAGTGCTTCCGCAGTTCGACTACCACCGAAAATTCTGTTTAATATCACACTTAATTTCTTTGTCGATTCTGGTGCATGAGCAGTAATATCAAACTCCGGAATTGCTGCAGGAGGATTATCAGCACAATACTTTGTTGCAGTCGCTGTCCAGAATGTTGCCGTCATGAATACCAGCTCTAAAATCGCAGCACCAACGATCAGATAGTAAAATTGAAACCATTCCCAGTGCGCCTTTGTGATGAGACTGGTTGCAACAGTCGGTGATAGCGTAGCACCCAAACCATAGAATGCATGGAGAATGCCCAATAACTCATTTGCATTTGCCATTCCACCCACCCAGGCATTCCACGCGGCGTCTGCCAGGCCATTGCCAAACCCTGCCAGAATAAAAGCAATGACAAGCACTGGGAAGGGAGGGTGCACGCAGATAATGATATAGGCCGCCAGGTGTGCTCCAGGGCTCAACATGGCAACGCCTCTCTGACCAAGCTTCATGTGAATCATATTATTAATTGAAGCTGAAGTCACGTAGCCCACGATCGGCGATAGAAAGACAAGAGAAACCACTGTGTAGGAGACATTATAGTACGATTCAAGCTGCGCAACAGATTAGAAACGGTTCTCCCATGCCCATGACGGTAGTTGAAAGCAGCTCAACATACATATGGGATAATTGCCTAGAAGATATAGTCAACCGGGAGCTCATTCTTGGCAATGGATATTTGATAACCTACCCCATAAGCGGCATCATTGGCACCAAGAATGATAAAGCTATAATTACACGAGATAAAGCGCCATATATTCGTCTTGGGATGCTTCCAGGTAGGCTGGATGGTAGCAGCGGTGGGTGGAGCGGCCAGGTCCTCCACAGACAACGTAGGGTTGTCAGATGGAGCTTTGGGTTCGGACTCTATAGCGTTCACGTTTGGCATAGTCCCGGCTCGACTCGGGCCTTGGTGAATAGCCTGCAGCTCCATCGCTGTTGGCACCTTCAGCAAATCGAGAATGCAACACTTTTTGAGTTGGCGGAAAAAGACAAAACTTTTTGAGCAAACCAAAAAAGAAACAGCTAGAAGTCAGTCAGACGAAGGGGGCCCCCCATCTTATGAAGCAGATTTCCGTGTGGCCTTGCTGGAAAGTCGCATAAATGCAGGTTCTGCATAGTTCTTTAGCTCTGTTGATCAAACCCCATCTTTCTCGAGTTAAATTCCGAGTCGATGCCCACGCCGTTCCAGGCGGGATTTGGCTCGTGTGCTGAGAATGCAAAGCTCCGCTCGTCTCCCAGACTCATGCAAGATAAAACCTCATATGATCTCAGCCCTCCCCTAAGACCCGTTTGGACTGTATCCCTGTTTCTCAACGTATTATTGGGCTGAGTTTGGACCTTTCTCTGCTTCCGCTGGGATCCCGACGAAAATGACTCACAGGAAGCGGGAAGAATTGCCGGACGAAAACTTTTGATACGAAAATCTACGCAGATACCCTCACCAGTAATATATCTGGTATCTTGAATTGATGTATCCTAACTTCCCGCACATACATAATCAGTATGTATTCCACTCGGTGGACCAGCAAAATTCGAGCTGGACGAGATGAGAAATTGCTATTTAATAACCCATTGTGGAAATCATATCGGAAGGGGGGAAGAAAAAAAAGAAAAAGAAAAGTCGCTGCCAATGCACCACGAAACGCCCAATAATTCCGGAGCACAGAACCTAAGGTAAAGTAGACCAAAATGGCTAAAAAACAGAAAATTCCGACCTGGTATCGTAAGGAGGCATCTTAATAATCTAAATCTGTTGAGCCCATTCTATCACTGGAGTCAAGCACCCTAGTAAAAACGTCAGCATAAGCTCGGGGAGCATTTGCCAAGTACAAGTGAAGGAACGTACGAATATTGCTTCACCAACGTTCCCTCTCCTCCTTTTGAAAGATCAATATTAAAAACGTAAAAGTTACCCTCACTTGTCACCACCATCACTTGAGGCGTGTTGCTGCTCATCGCGACAACACTCCGTACAGGTCCAGAGCCACCATTGCCGCCATTCGACTTAGGTAATTTAATCCAGGCAAAATCGCGTTCTGGCTCCCACATTTCCGTTACTCCCTTGGGCAAATAGCCGCCAACGGTGGCCGCGAAGCTATTGCCAACATTTTGGGAGGTGCGTCGGATCATTCCCATGAATGTGCCGTTATGTTTTCGAGATGACATCTCGGAACTTGCGGACTCGACAGCAGACTCATCTCCGGAACCTCGACTGGATTCCAGTTTGCGACTTGGACTGCTGGTTTTCGACAACCCTTGTTGCTGTCCCAGTTTGAAAATATGAATGGTCTCCGTCGCTGATGACACGCACAGCAAGGTGGACGTTATGTTAAAGGACATACTATAGATTCGTGACGGCATTGACCCTCTTCTGAACTGGTACAATTTATGAGCAGCGGGAACCGAAAAGACGCGGATAATTGTTCCCTTGTCAGACGCAGTTGCCAAAAGAGTGCCTTCACTGTTCAATGCAAGAAATGATAAAGGTGACTTGTGTGCTTCTACCACATTGACCGCCTCGAGTTTATATGCATCGAATATCAGAACCTCTCCACTGGTTGGAGGGATATGGGTGTTTGAAGGGGGGCCATGGGAGGGAGGAGAGAAGCTTGGTGGAGGGGCCTTTTGAGGAAGTGGATAGGCGAGGTAGCAATTATCTGAGGATGGTGCAAGGGCGCAGATAGCTAGAAATTCGAAGGGATAGAATTAGCCCGGTTTTCCAACAGTAGTACCGTGTAGTAGCAACTCTACCATTTGGGTTCGGCGAGGTCTCAATGGTATAAACGAGTTTCATAGTCTGAATATCATAGATATATATCTGGTCTTCCAATACAATTACAAGACGTTTCCTGTTTAATCGGATGGCTAGAACAGTGGTCGGGAAGGTGAGCTCGCATATGACGGATTGTCGCTTGAGAGGAGCATAAAAGTTAGCAATCAGGACAAAGAAGCTTCCTACACTTGTAGTAAAAAGGTTCTGGATTGTTGGATGTGATACCTTAGTGTTCATGATCTGCAATCGTCGAGGTGAGAGGATAACCGCGACCAGAGACGTCGAAAAGAGCATCTCTAGGATAGCTATGTTCCCTTCCTTGGTCTCATAGCTTTTCCCGAACGGATCTGTGGTAAATATTCGGAATCCTTTTGAGGTACCTAAAACCGGTAAGCGTCAGCAGCGAGTGCGGGGGAATGCATGCTGTTCACGGGCAGGAATGTCTGCACACACCAACAGCCAGATAGCTGTAGTCCTGGTTGAAAGTCACAAAGTTCATCGACATGCTAGGCAAACAGGGTGCAATCGCGAAAGATATAGAAGGAAAGGGTTGTAAAAGAAGATATCCGTCCCGTAACAAGGTGGTGTGGGCAGAATCACGACGACAAGACTCCCAAGGCTCCTCCGCGCCGGATAACTCTCCACTTGAAAGGCTATAAGCCGTTCATCACGAATGCGCTTTTGACAGAGTTTGGTCGGGGCGGTTGAGGATACGGAGATGGAGAGAAAAACAAAGGAGCTTTCCGGGAAGCTGCACGATGAGATTCGCCCGTTGCCTGCAGCGAGGTCGTGAGGTTCAGATACTCTGGTAGGTCACCACCAAATCTGCGGGAAGTCAAATGACGCCAACGCCAACGCTCGGACCACATCTCGATGGCGTCACGTGGAGAGTTTGGCCAAGCGCCGCCGGCTTGGCGTGTTTGATAGCAGAGCCGATAACGAATTTTTAGAGGGGCATAGGACCTCAGTGCTGTATGGAAGAATGTAGCGCTCGCCAGGGAGGAACGGACATCCTGCTCTTGGGTTAAGATGCCTCGGTTACGATGCCCAGGTTCCGGGCAGCCAGATGCCAAAACAGACCTGGAGAAAGGCCTGGTCATGGGTGTGAGCTGTCCTCGAACCCCAGCTTTTACCGGAACACGTCTTTAAGTTTACTAAGCGGTCTACATTTAGACGAATGGAAGTAGTATTATTTCGAAACGGAGTGTGGAACAGCTATACTATCCCGAGCCGCATTTTATTCGGTACTTCGTGAAGAAGCGCCAGCGGCGGTCGCCATTGATCAATCGAGGGTACTGGCTGCGTATGTATGCCATTGAACATACGGTGAAAGTGTTTCTTGAACGACCTTCCGATCGACCAAAGGTCATTATAAATTTCGGCTGCGGATTGTAGGTGCACTTTGCATTTATAGGCTCAATTGGTCCTGCAAAGCTAACGGAGGCCCTGTTTCTACTCTAACTAGTGATCCATTGCCCTTTCAATTCCTCACCCATGATCCCGCACTATGCCAAAATGTCCGGTTTATCGATGTCGACTACCACAAGCTGATGGTCGAGAAACGAAACACGATACACAAAACCGCTGCACTTAGTAGCCTTATCCCAGATGCCGAGTATCCAGCTGAAGATGACGTCGTGCTCCTACGCAGCAGGCAGTACATCGGCATTGGTTGCGACCTGGTCGAGCTCTCAGAATTGGAAAAGTCGCTGAGGTCTGAACTCGGCTCTCCTAGTGATTTCTCTATACTTTGCACCGCTGAAGTGTCTCTGACTTACATGGATGTCAAATCTGCAGATGCCCTCCTTCAGTGGGCATCGACACTAAGCGATGGTACGAACAAGTGTGATCCCAGCGACCTCCTTACATATATACTGATGAATAGCAGACACGAATTTCTGTCTACTCGAGCAATATTTCCCCGATGGACCTGGGCACCCTTTCTCGCAGACGATGATGAATCATTTCCAGAAACTAAGAACTCCGCTGTACTCCATCCATGAGTATCCTTCGCTACGAAAACAAGAACAACGTTTTGTTGATGCCGGCTGGAAATACGCGAATGCAAAGAGCTTATGGGAGCTATGGAGCGATTCCCAATTCTTGAACGATCTACAGAGGGAATCTCTCGACAAATACGAAGCCTTTGACGAATGGGAAGAATTCGCCCTTTTCGCATCCCATTATTTCCTACTTCTGGCCTCGACAAAACGTTCGAAAACTAATGGTGATTCTGAAGAGCCCACAAGAGAAACTGATACTCATGTCGAACAATTAAGGCTGGTGCCGCAGTGTCCGCCCAGATTTAATGGTCAAAGGCGATTTGGGTCCATTGTTCCCATCAAGAAGCACATGGTTGGTTTGCACGGCGGATTGGGGCTCCAAACCCGCCTCTCATCAGCACAAGCTTACAGCGAATCTGAGGTAAACCACTCGATCCACGATATGCCCCCAACAAGTATCGGGGCGCGAATGTGTCATTCTACGACCGTTTTTGGCGAACAATGCCTCCTTACGGGTGGAAGAGCCTCGCCAACCATGCCATTAGGCGATTGCTGGCTAAAGTCAAATGGTAAATGGAACCAGGTTGATAGTCTTCCGATTCCGTGCTTCCGGCATTCTACAGTTGCTGTTGACCTAGGCCAAGGTAGCAAGCATGTTCTACTCTACGGAGGCAAGTCAGCAACTGGCGATACCTTGGGGCAATTTCTCTTGTGGTCTGAACAAAGCGGATGGAATGAGATAAACATTATTGGCCGAACCCCAAGAGCGCGATTTGGCGCCTCGCTTATCAGTATTGACAACCAAACAGGGATTATGTTCGGCGGGATGTCACAGGGGGGCGTAGTTCTGAATGATTTTTGGACCTGGCAGATATCTAGATCCGACGAGGGTGATATCTCCCTCACGTTGGAAGAATTGACAGAAAAACTTTCAACTAGAATGCCGTTGTTCAGGTGGTTGGGGAGATTCGGGTCAACGGCCAACCTGATGGGAAACAAAATTATCGTCAGCGGCGGAATAACTGTTGACGGCTCTGTTCCTCAAAAGTATGAGATCATACTTTTGGATATAAGCTCACTGCGGTCTTTTATGCAAGACCCGCTATCACATAGCGACAGCATTTTGGCCGCAGCAGGCATAGCAATCGATTCTGACGGCCCACGACCACTGCTTGTTGGTCATTCCTCGTTTCCTGTAGCAGAGCGCAAAGTTCTGATAGTCGGTGGCGGGGCAGTATGCTTCTCCTTCGGAACTTACTGGAATGGAGGAACATGGCTTCTGCAAGACGCAACACCGAATGCGGTTAATGAATGGCTTCCAGTTGAGCCATCCATCGATTCAGAGCAAAGTCCAGCACGAACAATAACAGCGACGCCACAGCCCGTTGTGACTAGTGCAGATTCACTTGTTACAGTCTCGCGGGTAAAGATAGCCAGTCCTCGAGATTTTCGAACGATTGTTGACAAGTCGAGGCCTGTGATCCTAGAAGGGCTCGATATCGGGCCATGCGTGGAGTCATGGACTAAGGAATATCTCAGAAACGCAGTTGGACATGACCGGAAGGTATGTTTGCTTTCGAAAGCCCATCTCGGGGAGAATCAGAAATTGAATCAAAACACCAACTCGTTTAGGTCGTTGTTCATGATTCGCGTTCGGAGCATATGGACTTTCAGACGAAAAACTTCACGTATGTGACAAAGGAATTTGGCACTTTCTTGAATGAAGTGCATGCGGGTTCTCGACAATACCTGCGAGCGATTTCAGCTCAGAAGCCTTCCGAAGAGCCTGCCAACCTTTCTACGGATTTTCCTGGCCTTAAGGACGACTTCAGACTGCCACCCGAGCTGTCATTGGTTTCGGAACAGGCTCATAGCTCTCCACTAAGGATATCGGGGCCAGTGATCTTATGGCTGCACTACGATGTGAGATTGTCTCCCCTTTCTCCCCCCTCCCCCTTCCCCCCAAAAACAACTCTCTTGTGTTTCTCGCCCCAGCAGCCAAGTTTCGTTTTGAGCTGACGACCGGGGCTATTGAAATATCCAGGTTCTTGCCAATGTTCTCTGCCAAGTGCGAGGCGAGAAGAAGCTGATCTTGTATCCCCCATGGGACGTTTCGAAACTAGGATTCGCCCCCGGCGCGTCAAGCTCCTCGATCAACGTCTTCCAGAACACTTCAGATAGCCAGCCCACATCCCCGTACGGCACGACTCCGCACGAGGCAGTCATGAAACCTGGAGACATCCTCTTCCTCCCGCCACTCTGGCTCCACACAGCCTGCCCCACGGCCAGGGTCAGTGTGGCAGTCAACGTGTTTTTCCGCAGCCTCGTGCAGGGCTACGCACCCGGGCGGGATGTGTACGGCAACCGCGATCTACACGCCTACGAGAAAGGGCGCAAGGATGTGGAGAAGATTGCTCGTTCATTTGATCGGCTGCCCAGCGATGTTGCCCGGTTCTATCTTGATCGGCTAGCCGACGAGCTCAGGCAGAAGGCGACCACGTGACCGTATCCTACATGCGGGATGAATAAACAAGCGGGTGGCTAGAGGGGGATTGTGGGCAAAAAAAGAAAAAGGCAGGATGACATCCATGTCAGACACGCAGGCCCTGGATCCGAAACGGCTGATACATACCTGCTACATGTGTCTATTCGCTTCTTGTATATCGTGTCGAATGAGACGGGGGAGTTACTAAACCATCGCCTCTTCGAGGCCCCTTGAGCTAACGTAGTCTGGTCTTCTTCCTCAAGGACATTTCTTGCGTTTTTCCTGTAGGCACAGAAGCAGCCAGCAGGGTTCCAAGGGGAGGGGGAAAAAGAGAGAGAGAGAGTGTGTGTGTGTCAAACCACCTTCAAGAATGATCCCCCTTCACTTTTTGACGCAGAAGGTCTGGACTCTCTCTCCCGTCCCAACGCCAAACAACCACCCGACATCCCTCATAGGTCACCTGCAAGAGCATCCCGCAAACAAAGAATGTGCCAGCCTAGATTCTGATCTCATCCTGATCAAGCACATACACAAACATGTGTACATATGTACATACATATACTAGTCAGTCACATCAGCGAATAAAAAGCATCTTTTTCCCCCTAAAAAAAGTAGGCCAGATTCTTGATCACGCAAGCCTCAATTGACTACCATCATCATGCCCTCCATCCATCCAAAAGCAGTGAACAAAAATTCCAGGTTTTTTCTTTTCCTCTCCCCCGACTGCCTTCCTGCCTACTTACCTATTCTTTCCTACTCCTGAGCTGTTTTTCCCACATGACACGGAGCCAAGTCCGGGGTCAACACAAAAAAAAAAGAAAAAACACGTCCCACTGTCCGGCCTTGGGGATGTCCTACCCCACCACAGCAAAAGCCCAATCGGCCCACCCTCCCTGTTCCGCGGCCTGCGATTGGCCGGGCCGGGCTGGGTTTTGGTTGGTGGAGTCGCCACCCCCCACAGGGTTGTTTTCTGCCTCTTCCTGGGCGGGCGCCATGCACGCAGACAAGGACTGGGCCCAGTCACCGGCGGGCTGCGAGAGTCGGAGACTTAGAGAGAGAGGCGCGCGAGAGAGACAGAGAGAGAGAGAGAGAGAGAGAGAGAGAGAGAGAGAGAGAGAGAGAGAGAGAGAGAAGAGCAGAGCGGGCTAGAAGTTCAGCCAGTGACTTGAAAGGGAGAGAAACGTGTCTAGATGGCGAACCCAAAAAGAAGAGGTACCTGAGAGGTACATATGTCCATACATGCCTGCTCCGTGCTTATATGCCCTGCCTTCCAAGCACGCACACCCTGCAAGGTTGATGTGTTGGCCGTCACTCGCGTCCTGCATGCTGTGATGAACTGTTGGCTGGAGGACGGTTCGTCCTTTTGACCCAACCTGATTGATTCCTCACAGCCGCGGTTGGATTGTGTGCGACTCGCATCGTCTCACACTCTAACAGGAAGAAGAAACAGAAACAGCATGTCCAGTTTCAACGCCTAGCTTAAAAAAAAAACATATCATCAAACATCTTCTTGAATCCCCGCTGAAACGAGGTTTTGATTAAAAAAAAAGGAAAAAACAATAAAATAAAATAAAGAACAAGAGGGAGATCCCCTGCTCTGCCCTACCAAAACCCGGTGGTCTCCCCACCGTACCAAGTTCCACATCCCGATGTAGCCATCATGCCACTCTGCCCCCCTCCCCCCCCCCCCCCCCAAACTATGTATGGATGTGTGGATGAAAGTATGGACGTACGGAGTACATACGGGACGGAAAACACCACCGTTTAGTTTGCTCCGTCCGCGGGCCTAAATCCTAACTCACTGGGTAACAAACTCCGTAAGCTACTTTTGGTCGCCCAGCAAATCACCTGCATGGATGCGCTCTCTCTTCCCCCCTCCCCGCCATCCCATCCATTCTCCCTTTTTTCAAACCCATGGATATCGGCCGTATTATTGTTCATCGCCGTCTGTCCGGCACTCTCCACTTCGTTTTCCTTTTGCTTCGACTGTTGCCCTCTGTTGCTATTTAGTATTGATCATATTCTTTGCCGGATGCGTTGGCGTCGTCTACGTAATTGAACTTCGATTTGCTCTTGGCGTGCCTTATCCGTTGCTCCCCTGCCAGAAAGTGAGGAAGAGAATCGATCGGTTCTACTCGCATCAGAGCGTGAGTTGCTGCTTTTGTTGATTTGTTCCATGCGGTTGCTGTAAAAGCACCAGGACCTCAACGATCTTCTTAATTGACCCGCTTTCGCGGCCCTCAGATGTGCAGATACTGACGATGGCCGAGTGCTGATGCTCTCGCTCGTCTCTCGTCGACCCGGTGGGCTGATCTTCCCGTTTGGCAAATACTTGCTGTTCTCCCTGTTAACGCTGTGTCACCAGTTCATCCTCCCGTTCAACTTGTCGCTCGCTTGTCTTCCCACACCCTATATATCTCCAGCGCTGCTGCTTTTTCATCCAACAACCTCCGCCAGCTATATACGTTTCCTACTTGCCCCTCACATGTGACCGTGATTCGTCCGAACCAAGCTACGTGACGTCCACCAAAACAGCTTCGGGGTCAGCTTTTTTTCGAGTGTTCTAAGCTCCCAGACAGCGTAATATGGCGATGATTGTGGTCCAGCAACATCCAGTTCAACACTCTTCGACTCCCCCTCCCCTTCCCTCCGCCCTCAGCCTCAGTGGTTCCGCACCGAGAGCCCAAACGCCGATACCAAATAAGCACCTCCCAGTTTGCCCCACAGGTCCACCTCCTGCAAGCTCCAAGGTCCCAGCTCCATCCATATCGACAACAAAGCCTGTGAAGACATTTCTCTATCCTCCCACCAAGTTCCCAAAGGTCTATGATAATCCTCCGGTCTACACCATCGACGCAGACCAATTGGCTGCGGCGCTCGACGAGGCGTCCACGCGAGCCCTACCGGAACCCAACAAAGTTTTTCCATGGCTGCACGGTTTACATCCAGACAACCAGATCCAATTGGCGTTCTTCGTCCCAAGGCGGAGGACCCTGCGACGTATACCGAAATGTTTGAGGAGTATAGTCATTGTCAAGGTGGGCGGAGAACTGGCCAGTTCAAGGGTCAAAGGGGCAGTGGCACCCGGTGAGATCATCAATGGCTCTACATTCCCCGACCCGGACCCGCCGGTCGGATTCTCGGTGCGAAATTTCCAAATTCAGACCGCCAAACTCGCTCCCATTTCGGACATTATCCTCTACGGAGAAGATGGTGTCAGGCCCGCCCAGGTGCTATCTTTGGCTAAAGAGATCTCGTCAGCTCAGGAAGCATGGAGGCACAGGTTCGACCCTGGAGAGGAGCTCCGCCTCGTGAACACCTTTGTTCTATCAAGTAGGTGTCGCCTTGCTTTTTCATAGTCACTCACTGGAACATGAACTGACTATCCCAGCGCCCTTCCACCACCTTGAACAGCAACATCCTGAATTGGTGGCCGTTCGCTCCGATGGGCAGGTCAACGATGGGCTGATGGATTTCTGTAAGTCCTTCATATAGTCCGTCGGCTGGATGGCAATTTTACTGAGCAACCTAGTCCGCTGGGAGAGAATAGAGATGTGTAACATGTCTCACCCATCAGAAATATCGGAAAACGTTTACCTTGGCTTCACGCCGGAGCTCTCCTCAAATAACGGGCTGGAGGCAGGTTTTGACCTCATGATCGAGGCCCACGATGTTGCCAATATACCGGACCCACGATATCTAACCAAAGTCACGGCTCTCCTTGAATCTGGGCCCCAGAGCATAGAATTTCCCTCATCTGGAAGTCTCATAGCATCGGAACTGAGCCAGGTTGAAGTGTTTGACATCATTGACACCTGCAGATGGATCTACCATATCACACACTCACAGGGATCGGAGCAAATGCAAGACCAAGCAAGAGTCGAATCTGACGGAGATATTCAGATGATCACTCTGGGTCCTCGCCCTAAGAAAGTTTTGATCCATTGTGCTGATGGGTACACTGAGAGTTCCCTTCTAGCTATAGCATATTTCATGTTTGCCGAGGGTGTGCCGGCTCACGAAGCATGGCTAAGGCTACATTGTGAGAAGAAGAGGAACTTTTTCGCGTATCCTTCGGATGTCACATTTTTGACAACTATACAGCACCAGTTATTGCGCGAAAGCCCTGCTGCGAAAGCGGCGAGGCTTATCAATCAGCCTGACCCTGGCTGGATGGCGCGGCTGGATGGCTCCCTTCCCAGTCGGATATTGCCGTATATGTATCTGGGTAACTTGACACATGCGAACAATCCTGAGTTGTTGAAAGCCTTGGGGATTGGACGTATACTGAGCATCGGAGAGCCGGTATCCTGGCCGGAAACGGAGCTTATGAGTTGGGGTTCAGAGAACCTAATGATGATAGACGACGTTCAAGACAACGGTATAGATCCTTTGACAAAGGAGTTTGATCGATGTTTGCAATTTATCGGTAGGTCCTCGATATTTGTACTGCTTGGATCGCAACTTGGGGAATGGTCAGAGGGACTAACAGCTTCATCCAGAGAAAGGAAAATTGGACGGCACTGCTGCCTTGGTCCATTGTCGTGTTGGCGTTTCGAGGTCGGCGACTATCTGCATTGCAGAGGTGATGGCGTCACTGGGGTTGTCCTTTCCCCGAGCATAGTACGTTCTCTCTCCATGTGTTTTGAGGCAATTACATGCTGACGGGACCGCAGCTGCTACGTTCGTGCTAGAAGATTAAACGTCATTATCCAACCACATCTGCGATTTGTGTGAGTGTTTAGCTCTGTATACCCTTACTTAGCTTATGTACCCATGAATGCCTGGTCAAACCCACCGCAATTAGGCCAGGACAAGTTATCGCTCCTTGAGCCGATGCTGATGAGCCATTAGCTACGAACTTCTTAAATGGGACGAGCATCTCCAGCTAAAACGTAACCAGCCCATCCGACGTGAGCTAGAATGGACGACGATTGCGCGTGAGATAGCTCTCATGAATAAGCCGTACTCGAGACAATAGAAGGCGTCCGAGCGTAATATTTGTCATTTTTAATTGCTTTAACGACTATCGCGGACGCACTATGATGAGGAATATGATCTTTCTCCCCCCTTTTTTGTTTTCATGATGGCTGACTTCGGTATTTTATATATTTATATGGCGGGAATGTATGGGTCTTCTACCTCTTTTTCCTTTTTTACCCCTTTTTCTGATCTGCCAGACTTTCTTCTATCTTCTCCTCTTCTTTCTTCTCTTGTTATTTTCTACGAGGTCGGAGATCTATGATTTTTTAGCTGGACTGGACTGGACTGGACAGGCACTTGTTTGGAGTCGAGGGATCGTATCGATTAAATCAAACACAGACACACGAACTAACTACAGAGGAAATGGGAGAATACATTACACGGAAATATATGCTGGTACCAATGAGAGAGACACTGAGAAATATGAACCTTTCCATTTTTTTGGTTATCTTCCCTTTTCCTTTTCCCCTGTTTTGCTTTTTCTTTTTTTTTCCCCTCGCGTTTCTCTCTCAATTTGGACGTGTTGTCTAAAATTAGCAGGCTCAAGAATCAAATCTCTTTTTTCATCATCTCTCTCGTGTCTCATCCTGCTGGCGCTATAAAACATATTGTAGGGTGTGTTTTACAAGAATCAACTAATAAACTACCCTTTTGTTGTTTGCTGAGCTTTCATAGTAATTTTTGGGGGGAATGTGGTTCCGGAAATTGATATTGGGGGGTATATACGTATGCCGAAGAGAAAATGAAGTAGCTAATATCATAGTAGAGCGCTTCACGTTAAAAAAAAGAAAAAGAAAAGAAAAGAAAAGATAAATGAAAGAGGACCTTTTCAAACCAACAAGACAGAAATCAACCGAAGAAGAGCCCCGGGTGGGTGGGAAATGAGCAAACCATCATTAAATTTTACGGCCAAGATTATCTCTTTCTTTTTCCTTTTTTTTTTTTTTTTTTTTTTTTTTTTTTTTAAAGAGTAGTCAGTTTCATTATTTCCAACTTTTCAGCAAGTATGCTCTCTTGCGCTTCAGCATCTTTCGAAAACTCTGTATAAGCCCTTGAGATCAGCAACCTCCACAACCCCTCTTACCAGATCATCTGTCGCCACTAGCCGAGATCTGATCGCCGGAAAGAGGATATGCTCCAGCATCCATGCCAACTGGGTTCGTCGGCGGGTGATAGACGGGTCCTCTTTTTGCGGTGGTGTAGAACTAGGTTGAGTTTCCGACTGGTGCTGGGCGTTCAAGCTTTCCTGTGTTGGCCGCTCTCCCTGCGTGTTAGAACCGTCGGCGCCGAGGCTGGCGATGGCGGGTGTGGGGGTGGCTGGGATGGTGGGTAATTGTTCTGGAGTATAGAATGCGGCCAGCTCTCTTAGAAATGTCCGGAAACAGGCCTCTTCGTTTGTCCAATCAACGTATGGTCCGAGACGGAGAAGGAATCGTGGAAGCTTTGCTAGGGAAGGCATATAATTCTTTAGCAGTAAGGGAATGGATAGCAGGCTACCATCTTCCGAAATGGAGAGGGAGAAATACTCGTTGAGCATTTCTCTCTTCTCAATGAGATGGGCAGCGATTATCTCTGGAACTCGACTGAAGTCAATATTGCTAGGGTCCCCATTGTTCACAGCGTTGGATGGATTGGACTCTCCTCCCTCGCCTGCTTTGATGCGGCGGTGGTGCTCATCACGTTCGACGGCGGCAGCAAGCGAGAGCAGGTCTACTAAACGTGGCGATGATTCGAGATTGATCACCCCAAAATTCCCGAAATCAGTTAATCCAATCTGATAGAAGAATTCATTGCAGACCATTCCATAGTCTACAAGATAGAGCTTGACCCCAGACTGGATCGCTGCGATCCGGCGTCGTTCATCCACCAACCCCACATAAGTCAGCGAAGAGAAGATGTCTGTCAAACTATTATGCATCGTCGATCGTACCGCAGCCCGCAGGTTCTTTACCGACGTGAGGCGAATGTTAACCGATTCACGGCCGCTGGCTTCGTAACTATGGGTATGTTGTGACTGGGAACCCCCTTCTTGGTTTGCACCTTGTTCCGGGGTTCCGACTGGGAACATGGACGTAATCTTTCTCATCTTTACGTCTGTTCTGACTAGATTGTTCTCGTAGGGCCTTTTAGACCCAGCTACTGTTCGGAGTGGTACCTTCCCCTCTATCGTAGCTCTCGGTGAAGAGGTATCGGCGGGTGGAGTGCCCGACGGATGTATGCCGGGAAGTAATGTTTGAGTCATGAAAGTGCGACTGGAGTCGACATTCGCCAATTTCGTCCTGACCGCATTGCAGATCAGCTCAATTATTTCGTCTTCGTTTAGGAAGTTAACTTCTCGCTTTGTGGGGTGAACGTTGACGTCCACTCTGTGCGGCTCGATTTCGATGTTTAGGTACGCAAAGGGGTGCCCGCCTTTCGGCAGGAAAGCGGAATACGTTTGCTCCACGGCTTTCCGTATTCCAGATGATTCCACGGACCGATGATTGATAAACAACAAAATAACCGTGCGTTTAGCATGGTAATTTGCATTGCTTGCGAAGCCTGACGCACGGAAGCCCAGTGCCGAGTCCTCTACATCAAAAGGAATAAGCTCGTTGGCCACGGCACTTCCATGAATTTGCCTTATGCGGTCAATCGTGCTTGAGTTCACTGGAGTTGATACGCTAACCCCTGAGTCTCCATGTTTTTTGCAGGAAAATGAAACTCCATTGCAGTGGACAGCGTAGCGTCCAACGATGTCAAGGATTTTCGCATATTCTTCACTTGCGGACCTGAAAGCACGGCGTCGGGTTGGAACATTGTAGAACAGGTCCTCGACCTAAAGATCAGTAAGAAAAAGGTTTTAACAACATAACATGCGGTTCTCCGTACCGTTATCTGGGTGCCGCCGCGCCCGGCTGTGGGTTTAGGCTCTGCACTTTGCCCGGGTTTCGCAGGCACAAGTTTACCGTCTCGATAATGTGCTCTCCATGCGCAGCTAGAGCCAGCTGTCTTGGTGGTCACGGTGAGATGGGCTATATGGCTGATACTTGCCAAGGCCTCACCCCGAAAACCGTAAGTGGCTATGCTGGACAAGTCCTCAAAGGCCTTGAGCTTGGACGTAGTAAATCTTTCGCACAGTATCGGTAGATCCTCACTCTGCGCAAGACGTTAGCCAAGACTTTCACAACACCGTTAAGCAATGGAGGCCTGACTAACATCGATTCCGTGGCCATTATCGGTGATTTGAAGGAGCTTAAGACCCCCATCCTTGACCAGGATTTCCACTGCTGTAGCACCAGCATCCACAGAATTCTCGATCAACTCTTTCAATGCATGCATGGGAGCAACGATGATCTCTCCCGCAGCAATTTTGTTAACAACATCCGGGTCCAAAGCCTGTTGGGCCGTCAATCAATAGCGCACGATAACTTTGGGGACATTTCATACCTGGATCTTTCTCGGGCCTGGACCTGGGAATCCAGCGTCAGCGGCGGTGCGCTTGACTCCTCTATGGTCCTGGATGCCATCAATTTCCATCGTGTCTTGATCCATTGGGGACGGGGGTTGATCGCAGTATATGGGTTAGCCACGGGCTACAGACTAGTTCATCAGACGTAGTTATGATGTTTAGCTACAGGGTATGGTTGTTTTGGGAGTGTGCGGCAAGAGGGTGTCGATTGTTGTTGAAATGAACCGCCGGATGCGGCATGGGTTGTTTATTCTTTCTGACATAGGGGTGCAGATTCAAGAGAGCATATCCGCATCATCAGGCGAAATGGTTTTGTGTTGTTTATCGTGCGGCCGTCCGGGACAGACGATGGTGGTTCGCGTTGGCCTTCGAAATCCGCCGCAAAACGCCAAGACGGGGTGGGACGGGGCAGTAGGAGTTGGCAGCGGTCTAGAAGTGGACTGCCGGGACAAATAAATCCGCCATGTTACTCCGATTTTCTTGCACAGAGGAACACTCGGCGCAGATCATAAATCTGCATGCGGGCAATGGTTTCGTCGACAAGCCACATATGATCAGCAATTCACGAGTTGGTTATGTAACCAGCAATTTCCCGGCTGGCCCCTTTCCACTCCACTGCTCCGCATACGTTTTCGATGATAAAGTCGCGTGGAAGAGCTCCCGAGGAGCGCAGCGCTAACGGCAGCGGCCATGCATCTCTCAAGGAGAATATTCCTTGCAGATGAAGAGCTCGGGAAGAAGGATGATGACCACTTTCGCAAACCTGCACAGCTCCGAAGGCCGTCTCTCGCATCATGCCGGCTTCCGCGCCGCCGACGATTCTTCGTGATCATCGGCATCATTCTTTGTTGCCTCCTCCTCAGCCATTCACTTTTTCGAAGTCTTTCGGGCGAGAATGATGATTCTACTGGAGACACTGTTGATAATGGGTTCTATCCGACTCGCAATGGAATAATGCGTCCAAATGGCCCTCCAAACGCCTCGAATGGTAAACAGAGCAGTCACTATTTCAATGGCCCGATACGATTTTATTCGCTAGCTAGGTCGCTATACTCCGTCCATGGATTTATGAGATATCGTCGCCAGAATAAACTCGTCCTCTTCGCCGCTGCAAATCTGAAGTGTATCTCGGACCTTCTGCCGCTTGCTTGTGAAATGTCCGGACATGAGCTGAATCAGGTACATATCGCACTGATGGGTCGGGATGAGCTGTCAATTGAAGGAATTCAAGAAGTAAATGGCTATAATGAGTCAGAATGCCCATTGATTTGGCATGGTATGCAAGATTGCACCTGATGTTTGCGTGTTGTCTACATGCATATTGACTCCGTCTAGATGCTCGTCCCGATTACGGCCCTTGGTCCACGGATGCGAGAATGGAAGCAAGTGTCAAATCCGGACTTGTTCATATGCTGAAAATCCTTCATCCCCGTGCCATAATCACGCATGAAAGTCGAGACGAACCTTTTCTTGTGAGGGGAGTGAAAACGCGGGCATCGCAAACAGGTATAGCACATATAGGCCTTAAAGGCCGTGCCTCGAGCTTCAAATGGATTACAAAGCTGGATTCACGGGCTCTGGCAGGTATGGTGAACAAAATATTTTCAGACTGTCGGATCCCGCTCTCTTCAAATCAATTCTAACCGCCTCACAGCTTGGAATAGAGCCCAGATTGAGATCCTCGTTCATGCTCCACCCGCTTCGTCTGGATCTCTCTTACGACTCCTCAAATCCCTCCAAAAGGCGGATTACTTTGGCCCGGCACCTGGATTGACTATTGAATTACCTTTTGACGTTGATCCCGCATTGACAGACTTCCTTGGCAGGTTTACCTGGCCGCCACATACGGAAGGCCGCCAATTTACCCTTCGCCGTCGCATTACGAGAAATACAGCTGCTGAAGAGGCGGCTATAAGAAGCATCGATGCATTTTACCCACGAAAACCTTGGTATTCTCACGTTTTGGTACTTTCCCCGCACGCAGAGCTAGCGCCATCATTTTACCATTTTCTCAAATATTCGATTTTAAAATACAAATATTCAATCATGGAAGCACGGGCTGCCTATCAGTTGTTAGGGATTTCGCTGGAGCTCCCTTCGTTTAAACCGACTGATGGGACCG